GTGGTTGTGGTGGTGGTGGTGGCGGCGGCGGCGGGGGCGGTGGTGGGGGTGGTGGTGGGGGTAGTGGCGGCGGCGGTGGTGGAGGAGGAGATGGCGGCATTGGAGGCGGTGGCGGTGGTGGTGGCGACGGTGGCGGTGGCGACGGCGGCTGTGGAGAAGGTGGATTGTTTAGATTGGGAATTGGTGTTCCCGGAGACTGAGAGACGGGGCAGCAGTCGCATAGCGTGTTAAACATGGCTGCAGCACACGTCCCTCGTGCGGCACCTGGCGGGGGCACGCAAAGCTGCTCCAAGGTGGTGCAACCCTTGCCAGGTCTGTTAGGTTTAAGGATGAGGCACACCTCCGCATTCTGGGCGCTCGTCGTGTCCAACCCCAGTTGCGTGAGCCGCAGGACAGCCGTGCCATTTCGGCCATTAACAGGCCGTCCGAAAGCCGCACCAACTCGCGTGTAGACGCCATTGATTGTGGCCTTGACATCCGCAGCTGGCTGCACAATGCAGCTGTCGGAAACATTGAACTGCGGGCCGGGCGGTAGGACGGGAATGAAGGGATGGCATTGTAAGAGTTCAAACAGACTTAGGCGGAAAGCACCGCGGTGCAGGCTTTCAAAATCACTTATTATATGGAATTGACTGGTCTTTCAATATGGAGCATAGGATGCTATGGCTCTTCGCAATTTTGCCAATAGTAGCGCCGTACAGCTATGCGTCTACCCGTTGCTGCAGCAATCGAATCCTCCCAGCGCACTCTTGCCTAATGCTACAAACATACCTCAATTTTATACAGGTCTGTGTTGCAGCAAGCATTGTTGCAGTTCTGGGTCTGGACCTTGATGGTGAAGCAAAACTTTCCGCCGCCCAACGATTTCACTTCCGGTCCGAGCCTGTAAGCGCCAATTCTAGTCGCACATTCTCGATAAGGAAAATTGGGGACGAAGCCCGTCTGTTCGCCCAAGGCCACGTCGTAGTCACCGTAATAGAAGTCCTGTGCATCCGCGCTTGCAGCCCTGCAACAGGTTTGTCGGGAACAACGCTTGGTATGCTTGTGTGATGAAATGTTTTAAATTATTGCTGGTTGGGGCTTGCTGTGTGCAATTTGACTGCAACAGCATCTGGCCATTGCCCAACTGAAGAGGTAGGAAGTCACCGTGCGAACGCAAGGACCATGCAATCAAGTTTCACAAAAAATAGTTCTAACCAGGAAATAAAGCTCCGGCATTGTAAGTAGCCTAAAAGGTATGAACATTCCTACTTGACACCTACCAGGCAACCGCCAAAGCAGCGACGAGTAGTATTGTAAATCTGCCCATTCTTTGCCTATCCATTGTAACTGTACAATGGTATACAGAACTCTGTATCACTTCCTACCTTTTGTATGGGCTGGGAGGTGGCCCCTTGGACACCTCGTTTTGGGCCCCGCATACTGACGTACCCAGCGGCCGGGGCGGGCGCTGTTCAGTCTTCAGGTTAGGTCACCAGGGGTGTTGCATCTCGCGGGACTGTGCGCACAAAATACCTCACTTTTTATCAATATCTTTTTGTTAATATAAAAAAAGTGCGTTTGAATGCCAGGTCTGCAACATTTGATCAAGCAGCTGTAGGCCTCCGCTGGGGGCGGGCGGCGCGGCATAACCGTTTCATCACTGTGTCGGCAACAGTCGTTAACGCCTTTAACCGCATACATCGCCCGCCCAGCCTTCTCCAATGAAAAATGTCCTTCCTTCCTTGTGTCTCTCTCGGTGTGCGCCTGCACCTAATTGTGTTCGTGTATGCATGTATGTATGTGTGTGTGTGGTTGTGTGTGGTTGTGTGTGGTTGTTACAGTGGCCTCCAGACTCACGAAGAGTAGAGCCAACGGCCCAGCTGGCCGTGCATTACTGCATAACGAGCATGGTAAACGAGACACCCACCCGAATAAGACACAACCCAAAGTCACCTAGACAGCCAAACGCGCATCCAAAGGAACCCACAACCACTGCTAAATGAGGCCTGAGCCCCAAAAGTCCCCCAATCGAAAGAATCCAAAAGAAAGAAGCAAGGATAGGTGATAGTGTGATAGTGTGTGAAAGCTGTGTGCATGTTACACCTTCACCTTGTTTTCCGTTACCCTTCAAAGGTAGAAGTACTAGCAGGTATTACAGCGAGCCTCAGAGCAGGATACCCCAGCAGGGTGGTAGAGGGCCATCTACCGATCGGCGGCCGCAACAGACTGCCGTCCACTGCAACACTGGGAATGCCGCTGAGACTAGAACCCACAACTTGAACACCTTGAACACACAGCAATACAGTCACTCCGAAGCCTGAAGAGGCTCTATGTATGGGATGCCACATATCAGCCGCCCACCACTCAAGAAGGAAGGAAGTAAAACAAGGACACGCGCAACCGCAAGGCACCCAGTAAATAAAGACGACTCGGATGAGGCCACACATATTTTAAGCGATATATAAACATGAAACATAGCTTCATGTGGAGCCCTCAAACAAGAGAACGCTCCGAACAACAATACTCTTCGTGAGTCTGGAACCCATTGTAACCACCACACATACACACACACAAAGACGTAACCTGGCCAAAAGGGGTCCATTCCTCCCTGGAGGCCTGAGAGAGGCCCAAGAGCCCAGAGGGGGCCAGCGGGCTGCTTGAAATGGATATAGACAACACAGAAAAACTTACTGTTGCTTCCCACTTGGTGGTGGTAGGGACACAACTGCGCACATACACGTCCTACTGGTCTGAGTGGTCTAGAGCAGTAGTGGTCCCCAGGCCGCACTTCACATCGAGTGCCATAAATCATCATATGTGACGACTGTAACGCCGGTTAATTTAGGTTACGAGTACCGAGTTTTACCGCTGTTAGGCTTACTTACTGCTTTTGATCATCCTAGTCCCTAGGTCGCCTTGGATGAATGAAGCCAGCTATATAGCTCGCATGCAGGGAACAAAGGCAGGAATTGCGGATCCCTGTCCGCATGCCAGGAATGCATGCACACACGCTGCTGGGCGATGAACGAAAGACACGCGAAAACACTCGCGGAGAGGTGGGACTGGGCCGCAGCCTCCGAAACCGTTCTTGACCAAGCCTCATGCATATCCGAGCTGTCTGAGGGACACACGGGTCGGCTGCTGACGAAAGCTTTCTCGACATTTTGCCGATCCACGCCTCCCCCCTCACCTAGATTCTGAATCCTTCCGCCTGGCTCTGTAGGCCACCGAAAATCCTTCCGATGGTGGAAGGTAGGCGTGCTCCTAGTCGATGGACGGTGGTGACCTGGTATACGGTATATGGACGAAGTTGACCTGCGAGCTGACCAGGGATGGGAGTTGAACCGCCGTTGATCCGGCAGATTCCGTTGGGTGCCGGTGGTGGATGCGGAACTTGAGCGATCCACTGAGAAGTTGACTAGGGTGACTGGATGAGGGTGCCGCGAAATACCGGGGAAGGCAGGGTAGCGGCCACGGGTGAAAATATGCCCCCCTGTCCCACACATCATACTGAGCAACCTCGTTCTTTTTTCTATTCGGAGTAATGTGACTGTTTTTGCTTGCATGAGCAGATCGATGCAGCGGCAAGCACATGCGGCCGTGTGATGACGACCCTGAGGTAGGGGTTCCGTCTGGAGGAGGCGCCGTACCTGGGCGGCAGGAAGGGCAGGAAAGGCTGCCTCCGAAAATGCCTGCGAGTACGTCCATACGTGGACGTGTGCGCATGCGCCCGCAAAAACGAGTTTATTATCCTCTCTAGTTGGGTGGTACTTTTATTAATGAAAAAGCTACGTGTACTGCTGTTGTCGGCAGCTTCTGAGCGCACTGGAAAGCATAGCCGGGTGCGCAATGCAGATTACATCGTACACCACAGAAACGTATGGTGGGTTGCATTGATCGATTAGGGGTAGAGGCTGCAATAGCTACGGCAGCACGTAACATAAATGGCAACAGGTAGGACACCATAATGATGACAGCAGGGGCGGAAAGAATGAAGCTGAATACACGCGAGTATTCCGTGCACTGTTTTTTAGATCTTCTAATACATTTAGCAAGTACTTCGCACGCGTCGAATTATATTTTTCCTTACAGGCCGCAGCAGCGGAAGTAAGGAAGCGTCCGCACTAAGGTTGGTCAATATCACATTTTCCGCACCTCATTTTTTCGAGCGACAGCGACACAAGAAGTGCTGTTCAAGCATCGTGTGATGAGCTCAGGCTGGCTGGTGAGACCGTGCCGGCTAAGGAGGGTATGCCAGGAGGTTAAGGGCCAGAGGTTACGGCCGTTTCGTGCCTGCCGCTGATAAGAGAAAGTTGTACCCCCCAGATGTGAGGATGAGGTGTTGTACGGTTGTCAAGTGTGGGGCCCGTTTATGTCGGCTGAAGACTTGGACGAGCTCAGGAGGCGGAGAGATGCGAGTGACCTTGCGGAGGGGCCCTTCGAGGCATGTCTGATGGAGCGGTGCTGGTCCAGGTATCGTTCAAGCGGCACATTGTGGGAGCTGTCAGACCAGCGCACCGCCTCCTGTTCGCTGAATTATCACGGCTACGGCTACACTACCACGTTTTCAAGCAGATTGTGAAGATTTGGAACCATGTCCGTTTACAGCGTGGGTCTGTGGCACACCAAGTTTTGCGACGGGAGGTCGTAGAGGGGCCCTCCAACCCCGAAGGAGGCGGATGGGGGCCACTACTCCTCCGTTTTCTAAGTTTTCTGGGGCACGCCGTGTGGAAAGAGGCCCCACAAGGGCTGCGTGAGGTAGATGAACGAGTGGAAGGCCATTGCCGGAACGTGTGGTATCGGAGTCAAGGATCGGATCAAGCATACGCGTTTAGATGTCCTGCTAGACGTGTACCCGTCAGACGGTAAGCAACCGGGAATCCACATGGCGAAATATAAGCATTGGATGGGTCTGGCGGCTGAGCAAAGGCGGGCAGGAAGGAGGTGCTCCCGCATATCACAAAACGTATCCCGCGTTTAGTGAATTGTAAGCTTATGCAGTTTAAGCTTTGCTGTACGTACGAGTCACACGTATATGGAATGTTTTCATACGTCTGAAACCCTCCCCCATAGGGTAACATGATACGTCTTTCAAATAGGAAAGAGCATATGAAGGACGCTATGAGTGGGATGCTGCAAAGTATATGGTCCCACTGCAGCTCTATCGTTCCCTTCGGTCGTTAGTATCCTTTATCACTTGATTTGTCTGAAGTGCGAGGTAGGATGGTGCTTATAGGCGATCTGGCAGCCCTTGAGCCGTCGGCTCGTGTTGGGCAGTTTGCAGATACGGGGAACGCACCCCACGACCATGTAACATACATACACACACATGCTAAGGTTTTCATTCCTCGTTAAGCACATCGTAAGCTGATACAGTTTCGTTTATGTTGCTGGGCTTTGGAGCAAACAGAGCACGAAGGGGCAAGCACCATGTCCCCAGGGAGCAGCGGTTTTGCCGCTGTTGTGGTACTAATAGCCGAATCGAGGATGAAAAAAACGTGTTATTGGAATGCCCAGCCTATAATGATATTCGTGCGGAAGAGGGATTCGATAATCAACAGAGCATGTTGGAGTCCATGAAATGGGAGCCAGCACGTCTGGCGAGGATGTTGGAGCATATATAGACTCACCGAAACTCAATTACTCCCTTAGGACGCTAGTCTGGGCCGATAGTGCGGTGTTTCCTTTTCTCCGTGGCTTTTAGGCGTTTTGGTATTGCCCTTGGGCCTTCGGCTCGTATGGGTAGTTCTACAGTTATGGGGTCACGCACCCAAAACCATGTATAAAACACACACACACACACGCACACACGCACACACACACACACACACACGCACACACACGCACACACACACACACACACATGCACACACACACATGCACACACACACATGCACACACACACATGCACACACATGCACACACATGCACACACATGCACACACATGCACACACACAATAGGAAAGTGATAACAATAATAAGTGCCAGCAGACCTTTTCGACCGCGCTGGGCCTGCGACGGACGAGAGACGCACGAGGAGCGGACGTTTTGGAAAGGTTCGGTTGGTCCAGCCAAAAGGAGCAGTTGTGCGGTGTGTCGGAACTCTTCGTGCAACACCTGCCGGGGGCGCCTCGTCTGGAATGGGAGCAAGAGGTATATATCTATGTTACAGATCTTGGCATAAGGCGAGTAAAGGTGCGCCCAGGCTGTGTGGGAGCCTGCAGAGGCATGCTACTGCAACATCGCAACAGCCGGCCAATTGCAGTAGTCATCGCGAGCGAGGACGCCAAGCGTCTTTGCTTATTAGGAGTTGTCCATGAACTGTCCTTGCTGCTGGAGTGCGCTTGTGATGGTCAGCTACCGAGCGCATGACTGAACTCTTGCGCCCGTTGCCAGCCAGAGGCAGCGGCAAGAGGTCGTAGAGGGATTCGTTAATAAACAGCTGGAATCTTCGGAAGCTGCCATGAAACCACGCGTCGCTCGCCACCAGCATTAGCTGCCCTCTTAAGACGTTATTTGTTTCGTTTTGAAAATTTCCATAGCTATGTGCCAACCATTTATTCAAATAAAATGTCTTCAGCAAATTATTTCGCTGTGCGTACCGTACTGTAGCTTGCAGACCATTGCAAAATGTAATGAGTCCCGGCATACTGCATAGGATAATAAGAAAGCTTCATTCATGTAATTCAAATATTTTTGTAGCGGCATGCAAAGGGCCTGGCGCAAAAAGTTCTAAGACTTGGACGATTCTGCCAATTCTGCAGCAGCTGCTGCAGAAGTGAACCGGCCGTGCAAGCCTGGAACGATAGTTATAACCTAGTCTGAACAGCATTTTATTTATCTTCCAGCCTTCATAACAGTTCCAAATGATAGAGCCTTGGCTTGGCAACAGGGTCTGTGCGAGCGACAACTTCCAACCGCGACATTATCCATGTATTGGTCTACCGGTGCTCGTCAAGTTCGTAACCGCAGGGCTGAAAACTGCGTTGAAGATTCTAGCCAACCGTGAACTGAAATGTCATTAGCAGCTGCCGATCATGACATGGAGGGCTAGAATAGGGGCCACGGGACTGGCAGGACACTAATAAGGCAGCAGGTGCGCGGTCCGTCAACTAATCAGCCATCGGCCTCGTTTTCCAGCCGGTTGAAGCATCTGATACAATTTCTGCTCCTGGGGGCCACGGGACTGGCAGGACACTAATAAGGCAGCAGGTGTGCGGTCCGTCAACTAATCAGCCATCGGCCTCGTTTTCCAGCCGGTTGAAAAGCCTTCAAGATACACTCTGCGAATTCAAACCCAGACCAAAGTTCAACCCCTTGAAGGAACTTTCAACGTTTGCATGGAAACGCATGTTCTGATGATAAACGAAGGTCGATTTTTAGCATTCCCATGAGCAGCGAGATCACGGACGATTTTCCTGCCTGTCGCGCAACTAATATCACCCTTCCTGCAACACATTATCTGTCCTTGTGCTACTTGTTGTGAATTGTAAGATGCAAGCCCTGTGCGGCCATTGAACCTACAGCCTACAGCAGCATGAGATGAACGCGTTTTCATGGTCCTTTATGTGTGCAGCAGCTACATACGCGCGCTCCTCCCACTGACTCAACATAAATGAACCCGCAAGAACGCGCCCTGCTGCTGACGGTATCTGATTTTGTCCACGCATGAGCCATGCAAGCATGTTATTAGTTCCAGCGGCCGTTTGTTAAGTCTTTCTATTACAAACATGCCAAGCACGCAGCGAGCCGTTGGGGAACTGGCTAATATCCACCGATGCAAGGCAATCGGTCATGTTACCAATTAGTCGCCGCACACTCGCGAACGGGACATGTATGGTCATCGGCTGCCTGCTAGGTCCTCCAGCGCAGCAGTGCAGAATGGAACAGCTAGCTGGCAGCCAACCCAGAGGCTGCTTTAATCCTTCACAAGCGAACGAAGAGCGGCATACGCGACAGTAGTGGGCGAGGGCGATGGCAGGCCCAGGGAGGCGCGGAGGTGTACGAAGCTGCTGCTGGCCTCCCGCCCGCCTCCTGCAACCCGTCGTCGATATACTTACTACTACATTCTCTCGTTCGTGCCGATGCATGCATTCCTTTTTTATTTATTTATTTTTACCAGCATTATCAATAGCCCCGCCCGTTCTGTGACCCTTCATGCTGCGAGCAGCAGCGCTAGCTAGGTGTATAGCTCCATAGCTTCATGAGTTACGATGATCTCGACAGGCGACAGCGTCTCTTGCAATGCAAGCCAATCAGAAGGCCGTTGCTGTAATGACAAGCAGGAGACAGCGCGCAAAAATAACATACAACCATAAGGCGGTATTTCCAGCGCGGACTAAGGGCCAGGTATTAGCGTTAATCCCCGCGCTAATCCCGGCAGTGGAAATCCCACCGGGATTAAGCAAGATCAGCCGGGGGATTAAGGAATTCCTCAGGACGCCGTGTTCTCTATTCAGAGGATAAGCAGGAGTTAGAAAGAGATTAGAAAAGAACATAAACTGAACTTGATGCGCGTGTATTTACCTGGCAACTTGTGACAAAAATGTTCTTCACGAGTCTGGAGCCCACTGTAACCACCACACACACACGACAACAAAAACTTAGCCCCACCCAGGTAATAACCTTCCCTATCTGAATGAGCATAATTAATTTTCTTTAGGGTTTTAATTTTCTAGGTAATTTCAGATGCATGACCTCAAGTAAGCAATATCTGTTCTGGTTTGCTCGAAAGGTGCTGCTTCAACGACCGTGGCCACAACGGCGAGAGGAGTGCGCTTCTTTGTCGATATTTAATACTCATACAATGCTCGTGCGTGATGCGATATGGTCCTTGCCATAACATCGCCGCTGGTGACTGCTGCTCTTACCGCGCTGCTCTTTCTGCGATGTGTCGTCGTCGCCGTCGTCGTCATACATCGTCATACGTCGCCGTCGTCGTTATACGGCTGGCTGGCGGCCAGTCAGCGACCCATGCTCAAGTTCAACGTGCAGGCAGGCACGGCCGTGAGGGCTGCTTCTAACTGAAACGAGCAGTCCGTCTGGCAGTAGTGTCCTCTGGCGAGATGACGAGCAGTCCGTCTGCTGGCGAAAGCTACTCTCCCCCCATAAATAAACTGACATAGCCACCAAAACATAAGAAAAGTAATTACAATCACAATAATGTTGTGCGTAAAGGTCACTCTTGCTGGCAGGAATTAACGTACGGGCTTCTGGACCTTTCTTGGCCGTCGGAACGGATGCGGGGCAGTTGACTCAGTTGGGAACAACAGGGTGACAGCAAGTCATTAGGAAAAGCACCGCAGTGCATTGATGCACTGCTGCACTGCGGCAAGTAAGTTCGCTTTCACGCCCCGCGCCATCTCAATGCCCTCGGAGAGGTTTTGTTCTCACATCACGAAGCCTAGAGCTGTCGGTAGACATATACCGTTAATGCATGGCGCAAGGATCCCCAGAGCACGTTCGCCCACAAATCGATGAACAAAAGCACGCATGCGGACGCCAGCGGGGCGACACCAGCAACTAGCACGAGGAGGTGCCAAGGGAAAGGGGCAAATGCGCGACAGCGGTTTTGGGATGATAAAGGCGTACGGCAACGACGCGGTAGTACCGCAGGATGCGCAACAAGTTCGGCGTGCGCCTGCACGCGAGCGCGAGCACCAGCACGCAGGCAGGCTGGAACGAAATCGAACGAACCCCAATTCACGGAATTATATCCGTATCCGTCCATAACTGTGCGATGTCATGTCGATGTTATTTGAATCTTACTCAACTCGTGTGTTGCTAAATCGGCATAACGGGCGACACGGTGCCAGCGGTCGTCCGACCTCACTCCAAAGCTACCCATAGCCCTGAGACGCTTCGTGGCAAATAGGTTGAACCTAAAATTGCACTAAAAGCAATTGACATCGAAAGGCAGTCCACGGCAGCATTGCGATGTGCCGCGACCTCATGCTAACCCTATAGCTTAGGCTAGAGTTATAACCTGCGAAAGGTTACTGGCGCTTTAAGCTTTGCGAAAAAAAGTTCTACGACGGATTGCGATTAATAATATCCTGAAAACTAGCTATGACGTCGTCCAGCTGAACCGCGCACAATAGTCTATATGTAAGCTAGCTACGTGCAAAAATCACTACGAAGGATCACACGTACTTTTTTCACGTCAGGACAAATGAGTTATCAAGTGGATCCAGTCTGATCCGTTTTTGAATGATGCCCATGCATTCAAAACTGTCCGCCCATCGGCCAGCGTCACGGACCAAATCATGCTCTTCACTTTTACGTGCTTAGATAGTGCCAATGAACTTAGGTAATGGAATGCGGCTCGTTATTGCACGGTGAAATCCCAGCATAATCGGCTAATTGGCGCGCTCAACTTCTGATGCGGAAGAGATCATCCACCAATAGGATATCGAGAACTGCCAACGCTTATAGCTTCCATCATAATGATAATGGGTAAACACCAAATAATAATAGCTGCATGGTAACAACATTGATAACATCGATATGACTACCCCAGGTGCGCCCCTTGCGGTCCCGCTAACTGCCAAAAACGTGGCCGCATTAACCGAGAAATGGATTTTGGTTCGCAACTACGTAGTATTTTGATCGTAGCCGTTAACCCCGCGATGCACATCCACAAATGGGTAGACATAGGCCGCCGTACGCATTGGCGTACGGCGAATTACCGGAGACCAGACGACGCGGTCGGGGCTAGGTCCGCCCTATAGATGGGGCAGCAGTCCTTGTTCCTGTTAAACGTGCTCACGTAGCTGCAAGGCAAGCAGGCGAGGTGGTGAACGGGGTTAGTAGCCGAACTTGGGTCGGGGACTTGCCTTAAGAGGTTGTTCTGGAGTCGTGCGCGCTAGTGGTGAGGGGGTTGCGGGTTGCGGATGGGGCAGCGGCAGTAGGGCAAGCAAGGGCCCAGAGGAAGGCTTCAGAGGAACACAGCCTAGCCCTCGAAGGGTTTCGGCAGTTTTGCTTCCTGTGGACGAGCACAGCTCCGCGCTGTCGTATATCGATTGTGCACACCAAAGTGCGAACACCTGGCTTAAAGCGGAATTAGGGCGTACTGGCCCGTCTTAACAAGCCCCGGTGCTGTTGGCCGCCTACATCAACGTATACATAGCTTAGCCGGTCTTTCCGCTGGGACTGGGCAGCAGTCCCTGGCCAGTGTCAGGCCCGGTCAGAGACTTGTAACGTTCACAGACACACACAGACACACACAGACACACACACAGACACACGCACAGACACACGCACAGACACACACGGTAAGGACGTGACTCACCACTGTGAGCTGAATCCCAGGCACACATCCTTCAACGTTCCGGGCTTCTTGACCTCAATGCAAACCATACCGCCGTGGGCTTCTTGCAGCGTCCAGTTGATGTTGGTCGCTGGACAGCACAACAGGAGCAGCGAGGGACCGACGCACACAAGACAAAGGGCAAAATGTGATTCATTGGGGAGCAGGAAGTAAGCAAGAGAGAGCTAGCTAAATCACGACAGGGCCACGGGACCCTTTTGCAGCGGCAGAGGGGTATAGTGGCACCACAGCCGCTCTCTCCGCTGACCAGGAAAGCTCATGTGTGTGTGTGTGTGTTTTCGGGTTGACGCGAAGAGCGCCGATGTCTCCTTCTCCTCCGCCTGGGGGCTTTAGTGTGCATCCCACCCAACAGAGCTCCCTAGGGGGCCAGCAGCAGCAGTTTGAGAGCTCATCTGGAAGTTACCCGCCTGTGGAGCACTTCCTCGTCAGGCATATGTATGTATGTATGTATGTATGTATGTATGTATGTATGTATGTATGCATATAAGGTCCGCCGTATGGGTGAATGAACCACATGACAGAGAATTCGAACGGATCAGACCAGGCTCCGCCCAGCCGGGTGAACCGCAGCCGCCTGAGCAGCCCGAACAGCCTGATAGCGGGTGTGAGCCGACCGGGCAGGATATCAGCCTCCAGTCGGGTGACCTCACCTTTCAGCGTGTTGGTTCCGTAGGCGCCCCAGCTGGTTGAGCGCCTGGACTTGGAGCCGCCAGCAGGATAAAGAGTGAAGCCCGCAATCATGCCGGCTGAGGTTTGGTCTGTAAGGGGACGTGTGGATGCAGCGGCAGTGATGAGGTGACGGATGCAGGTCTGCGTGGCACTGCGGCGAGAACGGCCACAGCAAGCGATGATGGACCCCACTGAACTCCCCCGCAGTGGGGGGGCCCCCAGGTGGGGCAGCTAGGTGCGCGGTAAAAAATCTCCCAGGCAACGAATATGACATTCTTAAGTGATCTCTCGGTGATCGAGATTACTACCGAGGGTATGCGTGCCATGTTATGTATGGTGTGCGGCTGCCTTGTATGTGGCCTTTGGCTTGCCTCTACCAAAACATGAAGTGTGCATGCGCGCGTGCTCTCCTCCGTTAACCTTTTCTATTACCTCCTCCTGTTTAAAAGTCAATCAGGATCTACAAAAGGTATGGTAAGGTAAGCTCGGTGACAGCTGCGTTTAGTGGACGGACGCATGGCGTGCCTTTTGCAGGTGTAGCCGAGGGCATTTTTTTGACTGAGCAGTTCTATAGTACGTCAGCACGTGTGTCCAAATACGACATCTGCGCTCCATCGCAACACCACCGTCGCCAGTTATTCCTCTTAACCTCTTAGCTCTCACTATCCAGATGCTGCCGGTGTGACATCATAGCTGGCACAGCTGCAGAGACGCATGCTTCAAGTGGGAAGGGGAGTCTGGTGCCCCGGAGAAGCGAGACCCTGCCACCCTGCTTATGTGGTTGCCCGCAAGCCGCAATACAAGTGGCGTGCAGTAGTATACGCATTCAACCCCGAGCAGCAGTTGCTGATAGCCCAGTGCGTTATAGCGAGCAGATCGCTTGCTTTGCACAGCATCCCCGTCGCAAAACGGCCGTGTACAAGAATGCGAGAGAGATATCGGGGGACGTTGGGGATGGTCTCCGGTAGTTCGGAAAGAGAAACACGCATGCATGCATGGATGGAGGGATGCTGGATCGTCTGCATGCCGTACAAACTCACTTGCGTACCACTCAATCTTGGTGAGAATCTCCTCGGGCATTCGACAAGTGCTCTGCATCCAGCGATTCAAACCCCCAAGACGGAGGTACATATCCACAGGGGGAGGGATATGTGAGGCGGCGAACGACAGCGCGATTTGGACCGTGATACCTGCTGAGGAAGCTTAGGACGGGAAATAAAGCCAGGCAAAGATTGTCTCGAACGATTACCCGAGCGATTACGAGCAACCCCGTTGCTCCACCCTAGCCCTAGTCCACATGCCCTGCAAGTCCCAAGCAGGCGACAAGACTCAGACATTTATTTATTGGCCCCCGTGTACTACATCCACCGGCCTTCCAGATGTCTCAGGCAAAAAGGACACCGCAGCGTGCCAGTCCTCGAAACCACACGTAGACATACATACATGTATACATTTCGTAGACACGTTCGACTGTATGTATGAACCTGAACAACTACCCAACTTACAGGCAGGATTTGGTCGGGGGGCAAGGTGCTGATCACGAAGCAGTACTCGGTGGTGAACTTGTTTTTGAGTGGAAAGTAGCGGGGAGAGATGGTGAAGGGCAGGATGCCCTGCCTAGTTTTGCACCTGAGGGTGATTGGGTTGTCAGCAGTAGAGTCAGCAGTAGTAACAGCAGCAGTAGCAGCAGTAGTAACAGCAGCCGCGGGGAGGGGCAGCAGCCCGCTGTTCCAGGTGCCATGTGAAACGGAAACACAACTACTACTCCTCTTTCTCTTCACGCGAAGAGTGAACCCTCGGGTCAAGAACAATTTCATTTGCACGAGTGAATTTGCTGTTTGAAATGCTTCGGACGGGAAACCGACACCCTTACGGAGCTGGTCCTATGTGTCGCGCGAGGGCTGAACATGTATGTATGTATGTATGTATGTATGTATGTATGTATGTATGTATGTATGTATGTATGTATGTATGTATGTATGTATGTATGTATGAATGCATGTACGCTCTATCTCCTCAGCTCGGAACCAATATCACAAGTAGAACCCTGGGGCTTAGCACAAGGAAGGCTAATAAAGCTAAGCCACCGGCAGTCCCGATGCCCCGATGCCGTCACCCACGAGCAGTTGGGGAAGGGCTTGAAGTCTAGGTTGCAGCTTTCCACGTCGATAAGGGGTAGGCAGCTACCGGCCTCTGTGGAGATCTGGATGGCGTAACGATCCAATTCCGCCCGGCACACCTCACCACCGGCAACAAATTTGATCCAGAATTGCGTCTGCAGCTCAACCGCGGCCTTGAGTTGGTTTGCACCATTCGCATCAACAAAGGTGCCGCACACTCGGATCTCAAGCGGGGAGCAGAGACTGGCGTTGGGAGCGAAGTACGACTGCATGGGGATGTTGTTGCTCACAATGGAGGCGTTGATGGAGGCGGCGATGTAGTCCTGGATAGACGAACATGTCCTGTTGTCGAACCGGTAACGGTTGATGTCAAAGCTCGGGGGCAAGAGCGAGATGATGATGCAGACCCGGCATACAGGATTAGGGGTGATGTCCGGCGGGCTGGGAGGTGGCGGAAGGGAAGGGGGCTGCTGCGGCGGAGGAGGTGGCGGCGGAGGCGGCGGAGGCGGCGGCACAGGCGGCGGCGGCACAGGCGGCGGCGGCACGGGCGGCGGCGGCACAGGCGGCGGCGGCACAGGCGGCGGCGGCACAGGCGGCGGCGGCGGCGGGGGCGGCGGCGGAGGCGGCGGGGAAGGAGGTGGAGGTGGCGGCGGAGGCGGCGGGGACGGTGGAGGAGGCGGCGGGGGAGGTGATGGCGACGGTGGAGGCGGTGGAGGCGGTGGAGGTGGTGGCGGCGGTGGGCCCGGAGGGGGAGGAGATGGTGATGGAGGTAATGGCGCGGGCGGCGGAGGACTGCCGTCGGTGATGGAGACGGGGCAGCAGTCACACGGCGTGTCGTACATGGCTGCAGCACACATCCCTCGTGCAGCACCTGGCGGGGGCACGCAAAGCTGCTCCAGGGTGGTGCATCCCTTGCCGAGTCTGTTAGCTTTAAGGATGAGGCACACCTCCGCGTTGGCGGCTGTAACGGTGTTCAGCCCCAGCTGCGTGAGTCGCAAAATGGCGGATCCATTTCGGCCGTAAACAGGCCGCCCGAAAGCCGCACCGATTCGCGTGTAGTTGCCATTAATGGTGGCTTTGATATCCGCAGATGGCTGCACAATGCAGCTGTCGGAAACATTGAACTGCGGCCGGGCGGTAGGATGGGAGCGAAGGGATGGCATTGTAAGAGTTCAAACAGATTTCCACGGGGAAAGGAAAGCAACGCGGTGCAGGGGACCAGGGACTTGTGAAAGGGATGAATTCAATAATGCGTAACAGCTTTTTCAATCAATCTTGGCATCGAGGGGGAGCTAGGGACGGCTAGGCTTCAAGCCATGATGCCCGCACTTACCCGCTGGAAAGGTAACGGAAATAAAAACATTCAGATTCAATCTCATAATTATAGCAGGTAACAAACAGATCGGAGCTGAAGTCGCCCTAAGTTATTTTGTCGTCACTTAACTCATAGGCAAGGGGAGCTCCCTTCTAAAGAGTTTGAAATTGCGATGTCGCGGAGCTTAAATCCATCCATCCATCCATCCATCCATCCATCCATCCGTCCATCCATCCATCCACGACGTTAACGAAATTGCAGTAGGCATTTTCACCTCATCCCGAGCCATCAGAGCCGTCCCAATAGCTCACCTCAATCTTGTACAAGTCAGCGAAACAACATGGGTGAGTGCAGCCTTGAGTTTGGACCTTGATCGTGAAGCAGAATCTACCGCCACTGAGATGCTTCACTTCAGGAGCGAACCGGTACGCGCCGACTTGTGTGTTGCAAATTCGGTAGGGAAAGTTGGGAATGAGGCCCGTTTGCTCGCCAAACGGTGCGTCGAAGTCTTCATCCTGCGCATCTGCGGTTGGCGCCCTGGGGCGTGTCACAGGGGAACGAAATCAGATGCAAGGAACGTTATTTTACGGGAGAGTTATAGCGCGCTGACTAATAAAGCAGCTGAAGAAATGAAACGGTGGTCTTCATGCGGTCCGAGCGAGAGGCGCTCGGTAGGTAGGCTGCTGGTCCACTCCTAAGCCCTAGTTCCTGAGCCAGGACGCATCCAAGCTAGCAGCTATTCAGGATATACGTTTTTAAAATTTGGTGACCTGTGTGAGGTAAGCTGCAGACGCGCTCTATTGAGGAACTTACCAGGCGATCGCAATAACTGCTGCCACAGCCAACGCTATTAGTGTCCTCGCCATGGCAAGTAATATTACGACAAAATGTATGCTTTACTCCTAAATATCCATTCCCAACACATCGTTCAACAGAATTGACAAATCGGGACGGATAGGAGCATGGGACGTCGTACCGTTATTTGGGTCGTTATTCGTGCAGTTGTCGTTGGTGGGCGTTGCGAATTCGTTGTTTCACTAGCGCTTCACACATTTCCAAAAAGATGCGCTGGATTTCCACAAAACGTACGTGAACAATTTTTTTCATGTTTAAATTCATCATGCTGAAGCATTGAGTCTTGCTTCCACCACATCAGACTTCGCTAATCCACAAAGACATCTTAAATAAGCCCAGGATGCCTGAAGAAACGCACTTGCGGAACAAAATCTGTGGATTGCAAGCCGCCTCTTGTCTGGCAACTGCCTTGCAGGTTCCAACTATTTGAATTCGGAGTCCATGAACGTTAACCGTAAACACTCGCTGCCACTCGCTATCCGTGGCCGTAGTCAACCGCTAGTTGCTGACTTGGTGACTAGGAAAACAAACGCCCTCTTCCTCGCTAGCGAACCTGCACCCCTAGCAAGCCCTTCTCGCGTTAATTAAGCCCGTACTCCTTCCTGCCATAAATGGAACAACGTCGAGCCATCACAGCGCCAGCATATCGCCCAACGGGGCATCTGGGACATACAGCGGCTTCCGAGCTGACGGAATTAGGTCGGAAAGATGAAGATGTGTCGTGCTGCCTTCGTGTGCGTTCGATGCCTTCGCAGCTCGCCAACTTTGGGCTAGGCCAGACTCAGGCCTCACATTGGCGCACACATGGATCAGAGCTGGGGCTGGCTGGGTGGCAGCTGGGCGGCGTGCGAAGGCGGGCGGGCATTTGCAACAACTAAGCTTCGGTAAACTTCATGGCAAAACGGTCGTTTATGGAGACTTTAGGTACTTTATGAGTTCCCAAGGGCCCATAAAGGCGCAGAAATGCGGGCGAGCGAGGGATACGGAGAGTGACAGAAGGAGCGCAAGGTCAGCACCTCAGCGTGCAAATCGAGCGTGAGCAAGCAGAAAAGGGATCCGGCCGTTCCCGCGCTCCGTACTCGGTCGTTGAGTGTTTGAGAGGATATGTTTTTCGCTGCCAGTATCACGATATGTTGTGCGATTAGCTGTGGACAGGTCTGGCCCTCCCCCAAAGGTCTTACTGCCGCCCTGTCCCATTGATGGCCTGACTACCTGCCCACTCGACTGCCAGCGGCCGCCAATATGTGTTCAAACGTCAAAAACTTTAAATTGAGCATTTTGTATGAAGCCCTTCCAAATTATGTACCTAACGCCAAATGACCCAGTAACTTCGTTTCGCGCCATTTGCGGAAACAGGAAATTCAAAAACAATTTAACAACGGCTCAGTGATGTTTCTACCTTACGCGATGGATCCTGGTCCAATAGTTCCATAGAACAGTTCTACATCAATTTTATTCGCGGCGCTGGTGAATCTGGCGACTTAGTAGCTTCGATCTGCATCGAGAAGATACGGTACTCGCTAGCGCCCGCTGCGCAACCTCGGGCGTGCACATTGAAGCAATTAAAAGCATGACTTTATTTTCATCGAACAAAATATTTGCGCTGATGTTGCTCTTTGCGTAAATTTGCGTGAAGCTCTGGCGCCCGTTCATTTCGCTACAGCCGGTTGCTGCGATGCAGCCGGAAAGCGGCCACGTAACATGCGCGCGCCGCGGTCCCAAGCATGAACCCTATCGACGACTAACGAAGGGTAGAAGGAGTGCGCGACTACAATGAGCAAAAGCGCTCTGTAGTTATAGATATGCATCACACGCTTGGGCTGGCTCCATAGGGCTCTATGTGCACATGAGAGCACATGGAAGTGCGCGCGTCGATTGTGAGTGCGTGTGTGGGATGCCAGCTCTGCTGTTTTTTATTCATCTGTGTTGTGGTAAAGAGTGCCTGCTACCAGCAATTGCTTGTCAGCTGACTATTTTACTGCTCCCTTCATGAGTTAGGATAGTTACATACAATATATAGATACAGCAACGCCGGTACAGTGTACTGCTAACCGCACCCAAGCATGGCATGGCATGGCAAGGGCCCTGATAAGGTTCGAATGCCCGCCAGGAGGGGCCTCCGTGTCATGTTATCGTTATGCATCGGAATGTGACAAGATCTCGGCAAGTCATAACGACGGAACCAGCATGTATCCACGAAGAACCTCCACGAAGAAGCTGGTACATCTCCAGCCGCTGACAGGAGGTAGCTCGAGTAAGGTAGCTATATCTTTTTATTGTATGCAGATGATGTTAGTCTGCTAGCGACGTCACTAGAGCGAATGTCTGAGTTGCTACATCTTGTGGACTTGTTTTGCGAAGCCTTGGGGATGCGACCAAATGTCTCAAAGTGCGAAAGGCTTTTGCTTTGCATGTGATGGCACCCAGCAGTCGGAACTTAGCGAGAGATGTCAACAGTTACGGCTATCAGGCCAGGTAGTACCTGCCAAAGATAGCGCTCGCTATCTGGGCTTGGTATACGGGCCAGAACGGCCTTTTAGTGCGTGCCGTCAGCAGTTATGTGATACAGGTCGGTCCGTTATGTTTTCCTTAAGCGCAAAGCTGGACAAAATGAAGTTGTTTGGCCCCGACGTGCGAATGCGGTGCTTTGCAACCCAAGTCCGAGCAATTCTGTTGTATGGCTGCCAGGCGTGGGGCCCTTTTGCGCTGGCAGAGGTCGTGGACAGGGCGGGAAGGCGGCGGGATAAAGCCAACCTTGCGGAGAGCATGTTCGAAGCCTGTTTGAAGGATAGCGCAGTCCAGCTGCAGATTTTATTCATGAGGCAGGTAGTGGGGACGGCACGGCCATCCCACAGGCTGTTGTATGCGGAGCTGGTTGAACTCCCCTTACAGTATTACATGGTGAAACAGATCCTCCGTTTCTGGAACCGCCTTCAAAAGCAAGTGGGGTCCATTGCTCATGCAGTTTTACGGCAGGAGATAACCGATGCCCTGACCAACCCGGAATGGGAGGGTTGGGGAACCTCAATGTTATGACTGTTTTCCTTCTTGGAGTGCAATATTTGGAGCGGAGTACCGCAAGAAGTCCTGGGGGTAAAGGAGCTTGTTGACTAGTTGTTGAGTAGGCCTCTACCCGAAGGAGCGATGATGACGGCACTAAGAGAGCGTTTGATGAGCGGCTGGGACCATACGCGTCTGACTGTCTTGCCAGAGGAGTACCCATCAGATGGGAAGCAACCGGGAGTGCAAATGGCGAAATATAAGCACTGGATGGGGCTGCCCTTTTCGGGAGCCGCAGCCGTCATGTGGCCAACACATGCTAAGGTTTTCCTTCCTCGTTTAGCACATCGTAAGCTAATGCAGCTTCGTTTATTTTGCTGGGCTCTGGAGGCAAACAGAGCACGAAGGAGCAAGTACCATGTCCCCAGGGGGCAGCGGTTTTGCCGCTGTTGTGGTACTAATAGCCGAATCGAGGATGAAAAACACGTGTTATTGGAATGCCCAGCCTGTAACGATATTCGTGCTGAAGAGAGATTCGATCATCAACAGAGCATGTTGGAGGCCAAGAAATGGGAACCGGTACGTCTGGCGAGGATGTAAATGGAACGTATGTGGGCGCACCGAAAGTCAGTTAACCCCTTTGGATGCTAGTCTGGGCTGATGTGCGGTGTTTCCTGTCCCCCGTGGGTTTTAGGCGTATAGATGTTGCCCTTGGGCCTTCGGCTCGTATGGGTAGTTTTACAGGTATGGGGTCACGCACCCCCAACCATGTATAACACACACACACATATCTTTCTGCTTCTCAAATCAGCGCCCTCCGTCACATGTTTCGCTCGTGCCACCTCTCCAGGGTCTCTATCACGCTCATGGACACTTCCCAAGATACAGGTAGCTGACCCGGCGCCGTACTTATACGGCAGCAAGGCAGCTTCAGTCGTGCGCAGCGGCCGCTACCTCCGTCGTGGCTTGTGTTGTATCCAGGACGACGGGAACAGCGGAGCATCGCAAGGCATGTATGCTTGGCACGCAATAGCACAGGGTGGTTCCGGGTGCCTGTAAACGCCGGGGGATGCCGTAGGCTTTCTCGTGCCGGTTGCTGTATGATGATGGGACCTGCACGCTGGACTCATTTACTTAACGAATGGCGTTTGAGCCCGGGGTTCCTGAGTCGTTCTCATGGTGCTATTTTCAGAAGCAAGGGTTGCCCGTGTTCGTAACTGGGATGAATGGCGTGGATTGTATGTCACGTCAACCTCCAGCAGCTCAGCTGTCGTAAGCAGAGAGCACTGGCAAATCACAGATCATTTGTCAGAAATAACAAAGTACCAGAAGCCTGCAGTTGAAAGCATAGGGATAGTCTCCGGTGATCTTCCGACATCCCACAGCTCATAGTGAGTCTCACACACATAAAGCAATTCTTACGGCGGAGCCAAAACGGATTCTAGCAGGGTGTTTCCACTTGGCCGAACACTAACACTAAGTTTGAATGTTCTTCGTCCTGGACTCCTCTCTTGCCGTTCTAAATGCATATATTGATACTACTAATGATAGTAGAAAATATTCATCAAACAAATTGGAGGTTGGGGCACTCCTGGCGGAGAACCGTAAGGCCTAGTGGAAACACCCCGTACACTAAGTCCACACTTGCGCACACTAAAGTTAATTGGACCTCAGACCTGCCATTAACTTTAGTACCTAGCACTAACTATTTGGCGGGCAACTTTTATGAGCTGGATTGTCCCTTCTGACCATAGACTTTAGACGTAAGCAGCTATCTTTTTTCCTTCCTGCAAACGCCGCGTTGACTTGCGCACGCCCAACACCGACAGCCTCAGAACACCGCCATTTTGCAATGGAGCCCTCCTTAAATAACGTTCAGCAAACATATACTGCTCGTTTGCCTTCCTTCGCTGGCCGGACGTTGCCAAAGCACCATGCGGACTTCATGGCGGACATCATGACGCAGGCTGCGCCGCAGCGGATCTTAAATACGCGAATTCTTACAGACCTTGAGAATCAACAGCAATTAATCCCTGGCGCTAAAACGTTCAAAATACGAAAGCAATTTTGGTTTCGGCGCTCCTTAGTGCCGCTAGTGGAAACACTGTCACACTAAGTCCACACTAGCACATAGTGTACCGAAGATAGTGTTCGGACAAGTGGAAACACCCTGTAGTTCTACACACATGCATCCCTGTCCAGCATAAGTTTGTACATGATCAAGCTTATTAAATAAATAGGTTGGAATGCTACGCTTCGTTCAGAATGCCTTTTATGTATTTCCTCCACAGCACTCTGCTTATTTTGCGCCCGGCATGGAGCGCAGCTGATAGTTCCCAGAATATTTACCAAAGGGTTTTTAAGACTGCTCATTATATATGTCAGAGATATGCAAAAACGGTTTGTAATACGGTTTGAGGCTTCATTGCCACCATCGTCTCCGTGGCCGAAATGGAGCCGCTCACCGCCAGCCAGAGAACAGTTGTCGGCCGATCTGAGCACAGCCGCCAGCCTTCCAAAAGCGCCCCCCATTGTTCGCCAGGCCGTGGGGTATGGGAGCTGCCACGTGGATAATGGTGCTGCATCGCACTCTGATGTTTCCACTCTCAAATGGGTAAGCACGCATGACAGCCGACATCTGCATCTTCGGTAGAAACTGGTCCTCATGGCAGGCCACATGGGACGGATTATGGGCAGCCACGAGCAGCCACAATGGCCAACCTACAGGCTTGAATTAGCTGCGGCCACAGGCACAGCTGACATCTGGGTCCCCGTGTACCACCTCACCACGTGCCTCCTGAACCACTTACCATCCATTTCATCCCGCACCTCCGCCGCCAGTATTGCCTGCGACGGGACAAGCCCTGTCCCCCATTTCCTCCCCTTGCCCCCCTAGAAAGCACCACAAGCTCGAAGCCATTCCAGTCGGGACTCATGTTGTCTCAGCAACCCCCACGAGTGGCCCGGTCTAGCAGCCTGGCGGGCCAGGGGCCACGATCTGCGGTTGCGCTGGGGGCCCCCTCCTGACGCCGGGGGACCCCTGGAGCTCTCGCCTGAGGAAGCCCCATCCCTGGAGTCAGCACTGGCTCTGGCTGCCGCCTCAGCCGCATCCGTTGCCGCGGCGCTGGGGTGCCAACAGGCACTGTCCCCCCACTTGCCCTCCTCGGCCCCAGCTTTACCCGGCCTGGAGCTCTGTCAGCTGCCCCGCAGCTTGGTGGAAGCCGGTGTGATGGTCTTGCGCACTGCGGATCCGGCGGCTAAGGCTGCAATGACGCATGCGGCGTGGGGAGCATATCTGGATGGCAGGTTGCCGCTGCACCCGCCAGAGGCTACCCCTGCTGCTGCTAGTGCTGCTGCTGCTGATGGTGATGGTGATGATGCCATGGCGGCGGCAGCAGCAAGATTATCGCCCGTTGGACAGGGAGGTTCCTCTCAGCGTGATCTTCCGCTGCCGCTGCTTCTGCTACTGCCTGACCACCCGGCCCGACCGGACCGCCCCCGACTAGTCCGGCCCAAGGAGGTGCGTGCCGCTGCTGCGCGGCGACCCTGGGGAGGGATGGAGAGCGGATGGGAGCATACCATTGGGTGCAAGAAACTGCATGAAGGGGCAACTGCCTGCATGGGGAGGCTTGGTGGGAGGAGGAGGGAGGGATTGGGGTGGGCGAGGGAGCGGCGGCTTTGAGGACGTGAACGGAGGAAAGAGCTTTTAAGTAGCACCCCAGGTAGTCTGGCCAAACGAGGCGTGTCGTAGGTAAAATAAATTAACTTTAATATTAGCAGCACCCAGCAGCCCCTCGCGCCCTTCATCCTTGCGCCGGATCCTCGTGCGTTGTTTTGGCCTTGCCGGATCCCCTCGAGAAGTTGCGGTGTAACGTTGCGTTTTCTACCACCACTGCCATGACCACCACCACCGCCACCACCACCGCCACCACCACCGCTATCTTGGCCATCGCTGTTTCGCAGATCCCCGGTCACGAGTCCTCCCCCCTGGGCCTCAACGGCTACATGCTGCACAACCTGGTGGGTAGGGGATGGGGGGGGGAAGGGGTGTTTTAGGCGGGGTAGCGCGTTGAGGTGGGTGGCGGGTAGGGGGGGGGTTAGGGCGGTTAGTGCCGCCTGGACGCCACGTCGCAGAGCTACCCAGCTTGCATAGTGCTGGTGTGTGCCGTGCTGGTGTGTGCCGTGCTGGTGTGTGCCGTGCTGGTGTGTGCCGTGCTGGTGTGTGCCGTGCTGGTGTGTGCCGTGCTGGTGTGTGCCGTGAGGTCGCGAAACGGGTTTGCCAGAGAGGTGGAGCTGGCCGGTTGACCGACCGCCGCACTGCGGAGAGAGGGAGGGAGGGAGGGAGGGAGGGAGGGAGGGAGGGAGGGGCGGCTGGTTAGCGGGCCGTCTGGGGGCATTGGATGCCTTCCTCAAGCACGCACGCACGTTCGAACGTGCTCGTTCGTTCGAACGTGCTCACGCTCTCACGCGCTGGCTGGCTGGCTGAGCTGTTTTGCCCCCGGTGGCCTCCTCCCCGTCCCTCCTCCGCCACAACAAGGCCAACAGACCCCGTTGTCGCACCCCGCGGTCGCCTCCGCTTCCCTCCCTCCCTCCGCTGTCCTACCTGCCCCCGGGTGCGCCTTCCCCTCGGCGGCACAGGCGCACATAGAGCTCAACGCAATAGACCTAGCCTGGGGTGAGAGGCGGCGGCGTACTTATCGGTGGGGTTGTGGTTGTGGGGGGAATGCGGCCGGGTCAGAGCCGCTGGGGGCGGAGTTCTGTGCTTTCCGGGACGTGGGGCAGGCTGGGGTGCGGTGCGGGGCAGGCGGGGCATTCAAAGCAGGGGCGTGTGTGTTTCGTTTACGTGCTTATCCGCCATTTGCGAGGGCCCCACTATTGAGTCCCGGTAATAATACCCTAATGAACAGCCCACGTCGCGCAAACCCCCAGCCCCAGCCGAGCAGTTGGACTCATCGCGTTCTCTCTTCGCATACGATAGCCCCACCTCACGCGCGCCTCCCGTCTCGCCCATTTTCCTGTATTGATTCCCCACCTACCTACCTACCTACCTACCTACCTACCTACCTACCTACCTACCTACCTGCCTACCTACCTATCTACCTACCTACCTACCTACCTACCTACCTACCTACCTATCTACCTACCTATCTACCTACCTACCTACCTACCTATCTATCTTTATTACATATATACCTATCTATCCATCCATCCATCATTTACCTACCTACCTACCTACCTGCCCATCTTTCCGCTGCCATCTGGTTTTCCCAGATACTGTTGCTCGCTTCTCGCCCCTAGGACTTCCGGACCAGTTCTACGAGGACTTTGCGAGGTGCGCAGACAGGGGTGGGGGGCATGGAGATTGATGTTGAGATTGGTGGAGCCGGGGAGTGGGGAGCGATGCGGGGGATGGGGTGGGGGGGCTCGGGAGCGGGACGGGCGAGACATATGGAGTGCTTGTATAGGACACACTGTTGTTTGTTTTTAAACAAAAACGTTGGTTGCTTGTTCGATTGCTCGATTGCTTGTGGACATGGCTGAGTCTCGAGAATGCCGTGAATGTCTGTCTGTCTGTCTGTGTGTGTGTGTGTGTGTGTGTGTGTTGCGGCGGCAACGGTGTGGTGGTGACGGTGGTGGTGGTGATGTAGTTATATTCAACCCCTGCGAAGTAGAACTGCAGACGTCCCAGCGGGGACGGGGGAGGGTGTCGCAGGGCGGAGGTCAGCAGGTCTGCTCAACCGGTCCTGCTCTCCCTCCGGCGCTGCCTCCCATCCTCCGCAGCCGCAGCAGCCGCAGCATCAGACACCGGGGCGTCTGAGAGGACACGGCCACTCGCCCGGCCTGTGTGACGTGATGGTGTTGACCTCGTGTGGTGATTTCCCCTCCTCCCCTCCCCTCCTCCCCTCCTCCCCCATCACCCGGCCTGCCCACCCTTTCGGTTGGCGAGTGCAGGGTGGCGGATGACGAGAGTCGCCATCTGGGCTGGTGCCTTCAGCGCCTGGGGGAGCTGGGGCACCGCTATGGGGACATGGACGCACACGACCTGCTGTGGCAGGGCTGCAGGGCGTCCGCTGTGGATGTGGGGGCCAGGTGAGACGCGTTGTGTTATATTGTGTTGTGTTGTGGGCGTTTTGGTGGGGACATGGCAGCCAGCCTAGGTTTAGTTTGGAACCGTTTCCCCGTAAAACCACTCCGGATCCGAAACCACTTCCCCCTGGAGATCCTATATTCGCTTTGCATGCGCTTTCACATTTGTTTTGGGGCTTATTTCCATTCTGCGTCATTGGGGCGTTTCTATTGGCCCAGCAGCGTCGCCACGACGACCACTGCCTCTCCGGCCCGCCGTTGCTGGTGCGGTGGGCTCGTACTGTGGCGTACTTGTTTCTTTTTCCTTCTTGGAGTTTTTTCCCTTGTCCTGTCCTGACGGACCTGCGGCGCTTCCCTACCTCCTGAAACGTCCTGGCGGCCCTGTCGAGGCCCTGTCAGCAACGTACTTCGCAGCCCCCCCCCCAGCCACCCACCATCCATTATCATGTGAAACAGCTTGACGGTTGACTCTTAGCTTTCCTTATTCCCACCCAAACCCAGGATTACGACGGCAACCACAGCAACAAGCACACCCATATACCTACCCCTGCCCCTGCCCAACCCTCGATGCTAAGCGTCTAAGAACTTCACATACTTGCATGCATACATGCATGCATACAGACATACATGACTGACCAGGAACTAAGTTGAGGCGCCGTTGATCCGCTAGATTTGGTTGGATGCTGGTGGTGAGTTGCTGAACCCAACGAATACATTCTGAAGTCGGATGGGGTTAATGGATTAGGGTGCCCCTCTCGCAGGGGAGAGCAGGGAACTGCCTCGGGAAAGGGGGCCGCAGGTGAAGCTTTACCACCCTGTAACAACATACATACGTTTACAATTTCCACCGACTGCTCACTTACATGCACTGCTCGGTTACATACGAATTACCCACGCACTCACTCACTCACCCGCTCAACACCCACCCCTTCCCCCGGCAGGCTTGCCGTGGTGCCCATGTCCCAGGAGGCGCGAGGTCTGGATGCGGGGTCGCGCCTGGTGTCACGGCTGGTGGGGTTTGGTGACCCCCGCTCGGCGGCAGTGGTGAGCCTTATCGCGGAGGAGGAGCGGGCGCATGTGGCGGTGGGGGTGACGTGGTTCACGAGGCTGTGCAGCGCGCTGGAGATCGGGCCGTGCAGCCTGTACAGGTGCGGGAGATGATGGCGAGGGCGGACTGAGGTTCAGGTACCATGTATTTGCGCCTCCCGCATTGCCTCTGGTTGCTCGTGCGCGCAAGAGCGTATCCATACGGATTCCCCTTGCCGGCACTACCCCGCACCGCCCCACGGACTTCCACAACTCCAATGCCCCACCTCATTCCCCCACACCACCCAGGCAGTGGCTGCTGCACCTCAACCCCGACCTGCTCAAGGGCCCATTCAACCACTCAGAGCGCTCTAGAGTGGGACTGCCACGCGAGTGGTACGACCCGACCGCTTGGAATGACCAGGATGGGCAGGAGCTGCAGGAGCTGCAGGAACAACATCGCCAGCCGATGCAGCGCCATCAGCAACGCCATCAGCAACGCCATCAGCAACGCCATCAGCAACAGCATCAGCAACAGCATCAGCTTCAGGAGGAGGGCGGCGTTGCGCGATCTGCCGGCAATGCAAGTCCCCCTGCCAACAGCAACCCCAGCTCATCACCACCCGTCGATGCACCCCGGACATCATCGGGCGATGTACCGCTAGAGCCTCCGGCCGTAGAGGAGGAGGGTTGCATTCCAGGCGGCCGGAGGGTTGCATTCCAGACGGTGCGGCGACCGGCTCGAGGGTCACCCCATCCTCGGCTGACCGGGCCTCAGCCCCGCCTCACGCCAGCGCAGCTGGCGCTGCTGGCAGAGCGACTGGCGGTGTTCGGCGACATGGAGGCTGCTGCCGTTGCCGCCGGCCCGGGCACACGCACTGCCGCGGACGGCTGCGGCTCGGAAGCCCCACCCTCATTCGAACAACGCATCTCCCCTTCATCCAGTCTGAAACCCGCACCCGCGCCCGCACCTCCCCTTAACCCACGGAGACACACGCACGTCCCTACTTCCACTGCTGACCATACCCCCGCTGCAACCTGCCGATAGCCCCGCCGGTGCTGAGTGCTGGCCGTACTTCCCAGTGCTGGATGACCTCTCTTATCGGTGCTTCAGCGGCGGCGCGTTAACTCCTCAGCAAGGCTTCTCCTTGCGCCCGCGCAAATACAAGCGTTCCCCGCGAGGGTGGGCCCATCCCATTCCGAGACACGCACACACGCGCGCGCACGCACACACGCGCACACACACACACACACACACACACACACACACACACACCCCGCCAAATGAGGCCGTGGTGTGGCGTGGAAGGCTGGACGATTGGACGGGGAACGAGAGGAGGAATAACAGACTAATGCTAGAGTGGTGTAAATTTGGACATATTGGCAGCGTTTAATGCCACAGCGCTGTTTCACTCCTCCTCCAAGGCTTTTTTGCTCGGAAGAGTGGACGCTGCTGTGTCGTAAAGGCCTCTGCCGGATCATGCCAGCCCTCTAGTTTTTTTACCCATATTGCAAAGACGGCCGTGGCTCGTCCTAGTAATGTACGTCCATCACGCCGGTTAGATTCATCCACCCCGTCCCCGCAGTTGGCGCAGCTGGCAACTGTTCAACTGCCGCCTGCCAAGTTATCGGCTGAAATGGCCCGGGCCAAAGTCTCGCGCATTACTGGAATGCACAAAACCAAACTGACTAACAGTGGGATTCTGCGGCGCACGCAGATGACTTCTTGTGATGGGTGAATGTATGGCGCGTCAGCCAATCGGTCAGGCGGCAAGTCAAATGGGGTTGAGGTTGTCCCGTCCGCTGCCCCCATATGCCCCATATGCATGTGATTTAGCATATCGGGCAGGCACGCGGATGGAGAGGGAGAGGGGGAAGGGCAAGGGACCTACCGGGTAGTACAGGGGAAGCTCCTTACGATGGCGGCGGCGGAGCTGAAGGGCCTTTAATCTTGGACCGAGGGGATGCCGCACGCCGATGTGGGCAAGGACTGCTCGTCCGATGCTTCCAACCCGTCGGATGCCTCCCTTCTTCATGTGTTGTTTTTGCGCTTTCGCTGCGTGTCTTTTGTGCTATTTAAGCTAGCAGTTAGTACGGTACATAGGGTCATAGGTACATAGGGTCCCGGAGCCGGGGCCCCAGGTGACCTACTGACCTCGCGTGTGATCGACCTCCCACTACGGTCCCCACCCATCCACTATTGTGCGCGCCCCGAAGTCTTGCAACCTGCGAGGAAACCAGGCCATAGGCAGCCCGTCTATTTCAAGGGCTCATGGTCTCAAATGGCGCGGTGCGGAGTGCAGACGGAAGAAGAAGGAAGCTGGGGTGTGCTGTGAAAAAGAGTGGAGGAATGGGGGATGGGAAACTGCTGAAAAGGGAGGGGAGAAGCTGGAGGAGGCGGGCGCAGACAGCGGCGGCAATATCTGACCGGACCGAAGCAAGGCCGGGGCAACATGTGAACTGCAGGGTTGGTTCTGCAGGGTTCGGTGCGCACCCATTTGATGGGTGATTGGGGCCAAGATGCAAATGAACCACGATATAGCCTTCGTGGGACTCGAACCCACGATTTCCTCGCCGAGGTAGGCTGGGTAGATCCCGTGTTATCACCACACGTCCCTTATTGGTACACGCGGCTACATGACCCTTCACACTGTCATGACGCATTGAACTTAGGCATGCCTAAGAAACAGAACAACACTGTAATCTTGTACTTCTTAAGCGTGAACTATTTCTACTTGATCCTCGCGGTGCCCTGACAGCAACACGCCTCACCTAGCCAAGGCCGAGCGAGGCAAAGCTTGGGAGAGAAGAACAGGACAGCGGCCATACGCAGGTCGGTTAGCTAAGCATGGGAAAAGAATCACCCTTCCCCCACACACAACAGAAACACGCAAACGAGCAATTGTGCGGCTGACGGCCAACACACTGGGTTCTCCTACGGCTTCCCAAGCTGGTCATTTTCCTGGATGTCTTTGCTACCTGCTCTATTGCTGCTGCTACTCCTACTCTTCCTGCTACTGCTGTCGCCGCCGCTACTGTCAGCCGCCGCTACTGTTTTTTCGTGGAGGCCGATCCTGAATCTGTTACGAGTTCCGTAATAAATATGCCATCAGTCCAATACGTTTATTACTGCCAGAATTTTTTTCTGGGGGGCAAGCCCCCCCAGACCCCCCCTGCCCACACAGGGTACCTGATACACCAGCACATATTTAACAAATATTTCATTAGAGTCTCAGCTGTTTCCGTCCGTTGCCACATGCGTTCAGGATTATGTCATACGTTTTCACCACGACACCACAGCCAGTACAATGCCCCAGGGCATAGCAAACTCGTCAGTTGTGCATGTAACGGCCACGCTTCTCAGCCCTCTGCAGCCACTTCTCCACCGCCTTGTCATACGGGAAGGACGAGCGGGATAACTTATTTATACTAAAATAGAACGTCTCTGGGGACCTTCGGCCCGCCCCGGCTCCGTAACGACCGTACCAGACCTTTACCATGGTCTATGACGGAGCGCAGAACGCAAATATGCCATTTTATTACGGAACCGCAATATATTACGGAAAAAAAATACACTGGTCCCAACCCAAATCACCCACTCACCTTCTCCCGAGATTGCCGTCCAGCATATCCAGGCCGGCGCCAATCTGCGGGCAACCCGCCTCACCTGCCATGGCCGAGCCACCACCGAGCTAAAAATGCTACCGGCATACGTAGCTCCTGAAGAATTGGTAAACGATGATAGGCAAGAGTTCCCGTACTTCTATATCGCCTCATCCAAATGTTGTAGTCCGCGCTGATCACCAATGTCCATGACAGACCTCATATTAGGCACGGACTCGATATCCGCCTAGCGTACACCTATAGGTTGAGGAGCCCTTCCCGTAGGTCCCTGTAGGCGCGACACTCTAGCAACATGTGAAACTCATCTTCTACTGCATTGTTGTTGCCACAGACCCTACATCACACCAGCGCTCTTGGCGCCACCGACCGCCGGGTCGGCTAATTGACCTTCCCCTCAACATCCAACATCCAGGTCCGGATGCAGCGCCGGGAAGTGCCCTAAGCACCCCATGGCACGCCAGTTGGTGGCGGTGTAATCAGAACGCACTGCAAGACGTATCTCCTCAAAGCAAAACAATGTAAAACACAGTTCCCTTCGCAAGGATAACCCTGTTTCAAAAATGGTAAATAAGTGAGGCACAGTGAAGGTGGAGAGGCCATTGACGAAGCTCCCTGAACAACACACGATAATCCGGTATCCTCCCTAACCCAGAGAGATGCGTCAGAGAAATATGCGTTGCAGCCCGACCATGCGATTCCTACAGACCTTTCGAAGCCGCGAGGCTGCCCATGCGCGTCGGGTGGTCATTCAACGACCTGGAGAATGACCCACACCTGGACTCCGTACGACAGAATGGATCTGATTTGCACTTCAAAGCATTTGAGCGCTAGAAACAGTTCCGTCTTACGTGTTCGTGTTACGTAACCGGTGAACAATTATATCACACATCGACTTTTTCCGTCTAAAAGTTGTTTAGTTGTTACTTCCGAGACAAATGGCATTTTGTCATTTTTCGTTACACATAATGAAGAGAAAAAAGGACTGAGAGGCCCGAAGAAGACGGGCCTTACGAACAACAAAAACAATGATGGCCCTGAGGACACGGGCCGTTTTGAAACAGTTAGTTTAACAGTTACGCACTGGGCCTTACGCCCAACCAACCCAGCTTACTTAACGCAAACTCGCATTAAAAATAAATGCCCCTAGGCGCAGATCTACAATACCGACGCGCACGTGGTTGACAACTCCATGCCACGGGCATGTCAGGTGATATAACAAACAGTTTATGTAATGCAGCTCTGTACTGCCGACATATGCCCAGTGCGACAGCGGCCCACGGGCCGAAGTAGTCAACGCCGCGCGCGGTCGATGAGTCTACTTGAACTGAGTCAGGGACTCCAATAATTTCAAACGTGTATTCTGTGAAATACACCGATGCTTAAATGACGGTTACGCATGCAAGGTGCTAGCCGCATAACCTTGCGTGAACAGTCGTAACCTCTACTTAATTTCACCATAATATTTAATGTACCATATATTCAGAAGTTACCAATCGAGGTATTGCGGATGTTTGCTTTGGCGCCCGCGATAAAGGCTTGTTGCAGGAACGTACTGCCAGTATGACATTGGGCAAAGTAAAGGCGCAACCTTGGTTTTAATTAAGAAATAGAAAAGTTGGCAGCAAACTACAGGAATTCATGTTTGTGTGGCACCTCGCTTTCTGGGCATGTGCCCCTTCCCGAAAAAGTCGCTTCCGTACTGTCACGCCCCCATGATTCACATTGGTTGCGTGCATCAGGTCTGCCAAACTATTTAGGCATTTGTCAATGGCTGTAGTGGATTAAACTATCTTGGCTGAGGAAACTGTTTTGGTCCACTCTGCGCACACTTTCGAGATGCAGCCCACGTCGCTGACTGGTCGTCAGCAGCAGCTTGGACTTCTTATGGGCCGTGCTCAACCTGACGTTCTTGATGCGGCACGTGTTGCGGCGCTTCTGAATGGGCAGTCGAACTCCTTCAGCTTACAGTCTGGCCTAGGAGGAGTGGGACTCGGTTCTGGTGTTCTTGCCGGTTTGGGGCCCAGCTCAGGTGGTCTCAACCTAAGCCTTGGCTCTCTTTCACAGCCCTCCCAGCAGGCGCCTCAGACCTCTCAGCTGGCTCTTCCGGATCATTTGGCTCTGCTTAGCCAGTTTCCGCATGCACTGCTCCCACCGCAGCAGTACAATCCGACTGACCGAGACCTGCAACTTGCCGGCCTTCGCAACGTTGGCAAGACGCGTTCCTCAGATAGCCGCAGCTCAAGTGCTTATGCAAGTCGCCACCAGGCTGCCGAGCAACGTCGTCGCACCCGCATTAATGAACGGCAAGTTGACGCCTTGAAACCTTGGCGAGCGTGCGATAAGAAGTGCGATAAGGAAAACAATTATCTGTCTTTTGTTGGCTAATGGAAAAATTGATGTCGGCTCATGGATCAGGGTGGAAACACTTGTACCTGCACTCGATAACGACTTTTCACAATTCACCTTTGCTCCCTGCAATTCCCAACCCCTGGGCTCACAGACTCGAGCTTCTTCGTAAGCTTGTTCCGCATGCGGAAAGGGCCAATACTGCCTGCTTTCTTGAGGAGGTCATCAAATACATTGAGGCGTTGAAGCGGCGAACCATGGAGCTGGAGACCATGCTGGAGGCTGCAACTGGCAAGCCCGTTGCCAAGTCGCTCGGAACGCAAGGAGTGCCCAGCAGCGGCGCCTGTGGCAGCAGTGCCTTAGAACCCGTGGGTGCTGACAGCCAGGCGCCTAGTCCACGCCAGATCACACCGGCAACTCAGCAGCTATCGTGTCCACACCCACCTTCAGCTAATGGAACCGCTGCCGTGAGCGCAAGCACACTGGCGCCACCTTTACCACCATCCCAGCAGCAACAGCCGCAGCAGCAGTCAGCAGTGTCCGAGGCGCTTGGCACATCCTCTCAGGCCGGTGCTGCACCTGTCACCACACAGCACCAGCAGTCGCCACAGCTGCAGCTGGCGTCGGCGGTGTCCTCGCAGCTGGCGCACTTGCTTCCCGGCGGGGGCGGGCCGCAAGGGCAGCAAAACGGGCTGGGAGCGCTGTTCCCCCACTCGGGTGGTGCACTGTCCCTCGCTGGCGGGTCGCTGTCTCTTGGCGGCAACGGTAACGGGGGGGCTGCCAACACGCTGTCGCTCGCACAACTCACCGCGGGCCTGCAGGCGCACCAACACCTGAGTGGCGCCGCAGCGGCAGCAAGCCTCCTGCCTCACTCGCACAGCCAGTTGACGTCCTCCGCCTCCTTGACACAACAGCACCTCAACGACTTGCAGACGATGCAAGTAATGCACTCGTTGCACCAGCACCAACAGCAGCAGCAGCAACAGCAAGCACGAGCGGCCGCTGTGGCTGCCGCCCCAGGAGGGCATCTTTCCCTTCACGCGGCGCACACCTCCTCTCACCACTCGGCTGGCCATCCTCCTCCTTTCCTCCCTACCAACAATAAGGCATTCCTGCATTTCAATGAGGACCTGTTTGGCGGGCTGAAGCCGGAGCAGCTGGTGCCGAGTCGAAGTTTGCTGGGGGCTGCCGCGTCGACAACGCCGTCGACCTCGATGCAGCTCACGTCCGCGCACCTACCAACTGACTCGAATACACTGGCGCAGGCGGAAACAAGGCGGAAGACGCTGTCGGGGTCGCCTGTGTCCAGCGAAGAGAGCGGTGTACCCCTGAAGAAGCGCAAGATACTGATGCTTTAGGGCTCCTGTACGGCTGCTCCAGGGCTACCGTAAACAGTTTTTTTAATGCGTTCGATGCCCGTGGAGATGGGAGGACTTCATGGACGTACACATCGTGGTGGTCGCGTCGTGATGGTGGTGAACTGCGGGCTTGGGGACCGGTATTGAGGGGATATCTGCGTCCTGAGGGGCGCGGGGGCCGGAGTTGGCGCCCCGGTGTTCTTTTGTTGTATGATGGGGCATCTATCATATCATAATCTCTTCCGGAGCCTGGAGGAAAGGGGGACGTGTCTCCATTGCTGCAAGGGGGGTGGAATTGCACGGCCGCAGTTGGGAATTGGAAAGTCTGGGTGGCGTATGATGGCTGTAATTGCAAACCGGGTGGGTGACCAATGGCTTCTGCGGGTTTACGATTAGGTCATCATGGTGGATTCAGGAGGTGATGTAAATCGCCTTTCCATGTCACTCCATTTACATGTTCAGTGCTGGCGAACCTTCACACTGCCGTTGTTCCATGTGGCCGAGAACCCTGAGCTGACTGACTGACCTGCATTCTAAAGCCCGAGCCCTCAGCTCGCGGGTTATGGTAGTAGTGCCAGTGTGCGTGTGTGTGTTTGTGTGCGTTCTTAAGAGTGTCGGTGGCCTCCGCGGTCCCGGGGCCCCTGATATGGGTTGCTTCCCATTCATGCTAACGAACGAGGGGGAGTCCTCTACCTTTTTGGACAAGGCCTGTGAGATGGGATATGGATGGTATTCTAATCCTTTATGTTGCTGCTCTGCGCTGTTCTGGGTTGTGGTGGGGCCTATCGAGGCAAGGTGGGCCTTATTAAATGATTCTGGCGGCGCCGGGTGCACTTTGCGGATACCCAGGGCTGTTATAACCCTGCCGACTGGCGGCGCACGCTCCGGGACGCTCCGTTTGGCGCGGGGGACAATCGGAAGATGGGACGGCCCCGAGATTGCTTAGCAGTTGTATGTGCGTGCATGTTTTTGCAAGCAGCGTGCCGCAGTGCGGAAGCGCACACACATGCACACACACATATATGCACTCGTATTAGGGAGCGCGGTGCAACGTGGAGCGGCAAATGGGGTTGGGTGCGCCCTGAAGGGGTGCTCGCTGTATACCCGGCTAGAGATTTACGCTTTTGCCAGCGATGCATTGCGTGTGGCAGTTGCCAAAGGTGACATATGCGCCCGGGAGTAGTACTACAAGAGAAAAATACTACCTATTACCACGTACTCAATTCATCCCTGGATGTCATCTTTACGCGGGATGTAATCGGATCAGCAGCTTGATGGGTGTGGCCTTGGCTCAGAGCGGCGGCAATGCGGCCATATCCGGATAGGAGATACAGTAGTAGGAGGCGAGGTGAGGACAAGGAGTTTTGCTGGGCTGCCGATTGGTGAAATTTTGATGAACACACCGATATGTGTCCTTTGCACGCACGGGACAGACGTGGACAGACATCCTGACAGACATCCTGACTTGTTTCTTTCGTTCGGGTGCATGGGGAAAGATCATTAGCTAGGTTAGAGGCAGGCGCGCACACACGCATAATACAAGAGGTTTGATTTTTTCCCGGAGGTCCTTGTAGAGAAGGGTATGGAATTGATACATTGGGTGTTCTCGGTCCATGGTAAAATTGCTATTGTTCTTGCTGCTGCTGCTGCTGCTGCTGTAAGAGGAGAGGGCTGCGATGATGTAATGTTGGATTCATCATTTTGACGGACTGGCCCCTGTTTGGTCACGTGGTGCGACACTTCCGGGAGGCTGGCGTGGGCTCGTCCTTCGGGCCGGACCTCCTGTTTCCGACACGCCGCGCCTTTCCTGTGTAATCGTTTTAACGGCTCAGTAGCTTCTTGCGGAGGCCTGGCGCGCAGTTATTGTGGGATCCATCATCTTACTTACTTTCTGCCACGGCAGTCTGGGCTGGTTCGTTATGTCACAGTTTTGAAACTCTCGGCACGTTCGGTTGCGATCGGCGACTACAGGATTACGGGTGTTGAATGTGATGGATGGGATGATGCTTGTCATTACAGCTTTGCTAATGCAAGCTTGCACAACTTTTACAGCCCTGGTTCAAGCAACGATGAGAGCATGGTCGGTAGAGTCTCGCTGTGAAGATTGGAAGGAAAACCTTTTAAAGAGCTTTTTGGCTTTAGTAAAAGTTATTTCCGTGCCGCCATCCATAATTCCAAACACAATGGATACCACTTCGTACTAAGTGATTAGCCTGCGGCAGGATGGCAACGCTGTCTTCTCATCTTGCCCTGATACGTATTGAAACCATCAGGACCGATGCTGTAATATACGACGGGGCGAACTACGTCTTTGCCATCCGCCGTACGGATAATTTAAAGGCCGAAATGCGATCGTCTCAGTGAGTTTCAAGTTGTACTGTCATGGGGAAGGTGGCTGTGGGTTTTTGTGTTCAACATTTCGACATCTGGTTGTCGTACCTGGATGAATATTTTTCTGTTGCATGTTTTGGTCGATGGGGTGTTTGGCAGACGGGCGGTGCTTTGTTTTCAAGATACAGGAGGATGTGCTGTGGACAAGCATGTGATGCGCGCAAACTGTCTTGGTCGCGTTAGTCATGACTTAGTTCGGCTGCGGACGTTTAACAGCTATGTACCCTTATGAGGATTTGCTACCAATTTACCTTGGGAACTGTTACTGACAATAAAAGGATATGGTTACGGTTACCCTTTAATGGGAGACACGCGGCAGTTTACAATAAGAATGCGACATCCCAGCAGCGGCGCGGTAATGTCGTGTCCAATAAAAATGTCTTGAGGAGCCATAAAAGCTTGGCGCAACCGGCAAGGGATGAGAACGAACGCGTCCAAGTGGGGTGCAAGCTGTACAGAGACGAAAAAGGTTTTTTGCATGGAGAGATGAGAGCGTGGGCTGCCGAACAAGCGACTTGTATTTCTTGACATGTTCAGACAATCATGCTGTGAGTGGAAGAATCCAGAGAATCCCAAAGACAGAAAGGATTCTTTCTACTCACAACGCCTGCTGTCCTCAAATCTCAACTGTAACAACAAATAGGGCTGGACGCCCTCCGAAAGAACCCCCTGGTCTCTATGCAGTGATGTTGACAATGTTTGCCCCCTTATCCATTCGCTTGACGATGCCAGCGATGACCTTGCCAGGCCCGATCTCGTAGCTCTTGGTCAGTCCCTTCTCCTGCAGCGTCTTGATCGTGTTCTCCCAGAGGACGGGCGAAGTCACCTGCGGGGTTGAATCCGCAAAAAAAACACGGGGCGTTAACAAACGTCCCACGCACGTGTTTCATTAATTAATGAGCATCACACACGATCAAAATAAACATATCTTCACTCTCCAACCTCAAAAGATGACCCCAACATGCTATCTCCCAACACACATGACCCCAAAGATGCTATCCGCTTCAGCAAACGGGTCATGTGCACACAGGGTTTCCGGGTTTCCCCTTAGTGAACCTTCATCCCAAGCGGCGGATCAGGCCGGAGATAAGAGGAGTCTTGTTTCGTGCTTCAGGCTCAGTGAACGCGAACTCGCGTGACAGACCCTTCACTCGTAAGAGCGTGCGCGCGTGCGACGCCTCCCACACCCCGGGGGAGGAGAGCGGAGCTAGCGGAGACCTGCGGCTCTCGGCTGCTTAGCAGGGCCCAGAGGTCCCCCTCTAGCGCCCCTCTCCCGCGCGCGAGAGCGGGAGAGCGCTCAGGCGGTCTTTCCGTCGGGGCTGCGCAGCCCCCGATCGATATGTAACAGATATACATCTCACACACACATACATCACACACACGCACACATATCACATCACGTATCACATCACAGTATTACCCCCAACAAACCCTTACGGCTCCTTGGGCACACTCTGGCTCCCCTCAACCACGCACACGAAGGACCCCACCCCACCCCACCCCACCCCACCCCACCCCACCCCCCACACCACACCCCACCCCACCCCACCACACCCCACACCCCACCCCACCCCACCCCACCCCACCCCACACCCCACCCCCCACCCCACACCCCACCCCACCCCACCCCACCCCACCCCACACCCCACCACACCCCACACCCCACACCCCACACCCCACACCCCACACCCACCTGACGCGACAGGATGTCCTTGATGGTGGCGGGGTCCGAGTGCGGTTGGGCGTCCACGTTGGAGACGACGGGGATACGCGGGGTGACCAGGGTGGTCGCCGCCAGGGCCTCACGCAGCTTGGCGACGGCGGGGGACATGTACTCGGTGTGGAAGGCACCCGCGACCGCCAGGCGGACCGTCATGCTGGGCGGCGTGGGAGTGGGATTAGGGTGGGAAGTGGACAGAGGTGGGAATGCGCGTGCGGTAGGTGGATGGGTAAAGGCGTTTTGGAAGGGTACGAGTGCCGGCATGTGTGTGGGTATATGTGGGTATTGTGTATATGTGTGCCAACAACGGCCGCACGCTTGCAGAGACCACAGCCTCGTGCCCATACCCGGGCAGTGAGGGGGTTGAGGACGGGTGGGGCTTAGGGAAGGGGCGAGGGGCATGAGGGCAGGGAAGGACAGGCCGGGGGACTTGCGATGCAGCTGGACACAGGCACGCGGAGGAGGAGATATGACGGGACACGGGGTTTAGAGAAGCGCGCCAACGGGGCCCCCTGCCGCCGCCCTGCCCTGCCCCTGCCCTGCCCTGCCCCCTGTCCAACCCGCGCTTAAGACGGCTCGTCGCGCAGAGTCCTTATCTTCCCTTTCATCATCCCCTCTCCTCTGCCCCACTCTGCCCGTACTGCCCTGCTCCTGCCCTGCCCGCACTCACCGGGCTCCGAAGCTCTTGCCCAGCTTCTCCACTGCGTCACAACCCTCCTTGCTCCCGGACACCGCGTAGTTGCCGGGGCACAGGAAGTTGGCAATCTTGACGGGCTTGTCCTCGCCCACTTGGGCAGTGGCGGCCTGCGGGTGGTTCAGGAGGGATGGTGGGGGAATACGGGTACCTGAGGTCCCATTCGGAGTTCCGGGGTGCGGAAAGCGGGTGTGTGTGGAGGGGTCATCGGTTTGGATCCTCATTGTCTAGTCCCCCTCCGCCGAGTACCGACCCCTCCCGTCCACGCCTGTCCCCCCTCGCCCCTCCACCCCACCCAGGTCTGCCTGTCCTCCCCCATCACCTTAACCTTCCTAGACCCCACCCGCTTACGCATGTCCCCAACCGCCCCTTAATGCCTGAGAGCCGGCAGTTTTCGTTCACTAATCGCGTGAAGACTGCGGAAGCCTTTTCAAATCCCAATTTCCATCCACGCCCACTACAAGCCTGCCAGCCCTGCTGCTAACCATCAGCCACCAACCATCCGCCAGCCTCGCAGCCCTCTCTTTTTCTGTGCAAACCCCCACATTCTTCTCGCATGCTTTCAGTTCCATACCCGGCCTTTCCAGCATGCTGCAATTACTTGCGCACGCTGAACCCTCCTCCCCTTTTCCATTCCCTCTTCTCCCCTTCCCAGCAGTTGGGCCATTGACGTCGGCCATCGCTTCTTGCACCATATAATCCTCCATACCCCTACACCAATCCCCTAACACCCTGGTTAATAACTTACAAAATTTCCTGACGCAGTATCTGCTTCTTAACTGGAATATCCGTCTATGTCTGGCATCTGCTTCAACCGTCAGTCAATTCGTCTCATCCCTCCCTCAAACCCCCCTTGTCCTCACCTTGCACAGCTCTGCCACCTTGCCCGAGTCCAATCCGATAACCGACACCATGGAGGAGGGCTGAGCGTCGGCAGCCGCCTGCATGCTCTCGCCGCGCAGCTTAACCAGCCGCAAACCATCCTCAAAGCTGCGGGGGGGAGAGGCAACAGCAACCGCAGTCCCCACCCGCAGCAGGCACACGCCACATCAGTGAGGTCGGTTGCGCAAGCAGGCAGGGGCGATGGCGGAGGGCAAAAATGGGTGATTCATTGGAGGGCGATGATAGTGACAGCGAAATGGCGACTCGGGGGAGAGGACGGAAGAGAGAGAGAGAGAGAAACGCATTGCGGGAATGTTAAGAGGGCAGACGGTTGCTGACCGGAGGGGGGCACTGAGAAGGATTGCGGGGGGAAGGAGGGTAGCGAAGCTACCGGACGGAGAATCGCTGCCTGCGAGACCGCGGAAGGCTTTGTTGCCATGTTGAAGTTTTGGAAAAGACCTAAGAGGTGCATGTATGTGTGTATGTGTGTATGCGTGGTGGGTCCCCAGACGGAGGGAGCAGGGGACGAAAGAGGATTTCGCGGTGCGGTGGTAAAGCATCACCAGGTGCACCTCCTCCAGCACTGCTTCCGTTAGCTGGTGCGAATACACGACACGGTCGTAACATTCGTAGGAGGGGGGAAACAAAGCAGAGCAAGCAACATGTGTGCTCGGTAGGTACTCCAGTTGCCTGGATCAAAAATGTAGGAGTGTGCGTCGGGGTGTACATGTCTAGTTTGTGTCGTGTTGTGCTGACTGAAAATCCCCAAGTCCCTAGTCCCTCCCCTTCCCCGGCTCCGCCCACTTTGTAAGCCTCTTCCCTTTTCCCTCTTCCCGCCCTCCCGTCCCCCCCCGCCCCCGCACCTCATGGCCCCCGCAAACGCAAGCGCCGTGTACTCGCCCAGGCTGAGACCGGCCGCCACATCGATGGCGTCAATGGCAGCCTGCCAGGAGGGCAGGGCAGAGCAGGGCAGGGGGAAAGAGGGAGAGGGGGGTCCTGGAGCTCCAAAAAGGGGGGGGAGGTCCAGGACAAGGCTGCCGGGTTACGGAACCCTTTTGAGCAACATAGCACAATGGACCCCCCCCCCCGCGCCGCACCCGGAGCCTCCTCCGGGCCCCGAGCTGCGTTCACATTCGGATGTGCTGGTGCTGCGAAACGATCACGAGCATTGGTGAGGGGGTGCATGGCTTCCCTTAGGGCCGGGGCGCTTCAAATCGTCCTCGCTTAAATCACTTCAACGCTTGCGTCCACTTGCCTGCCGCAGTTTAATTGGTGGGGTTTGCGGTAGTGTGTCCCCACCCCTCCCTACCCTTTCATGAAGCTTAACCTTAATTGCTTGCAGGGTATATTTCCTCAGTTTGTCACGGAGGCTTCCCATGAAACCCCGCCAGCATTACTGCCGAACTGCATTTCGCTCGGAACCCCTAAAAGCAGTAACTGCCAACCAACCATTACAGATCTCACCCATCCAGCTAGTCCCGCACCTGGCCCTCAGTCGCGCGCAGCTTCTCCACTGCCGCCAGCGATGCCACGTAGATGGCTGGCTGGCTGATGGCAGTGGAGTCCAGCTTGTCCTTGGGGCCCTCTACACAGAGCTGTAGAGGGACGGGAGGGGAGAGCAGCGGAGACCGCCGGGGTACGGTGGGGTGAGGTGGGCTAGGATAAAGAGAGGTGTGGCGGCTTGAGTTCAGGCATTTACATGAGGCGACCAGGGAAATAGGTCTATGCAGCGTGGAGCTCCAGGCACGTCGTATTGGTTGGTGGGTTGCACGGGCAGCGCAGCGAATCAGGTAATGACCCCGGCCAGATGGCTGGGCTTGGGGGGGTCGGCCTGGGATGCACATACACAATCGTAACGCTCAATCAGGCCCTCCCTTGCGAGTTGTTGGGCGGCCCGTGTGTGATTTTGTGAACAGCACAGCGTGGTGTTGGAGGAAAGACCTGGGATGATGGCACAGTTGGGGACGCAGGCCGGGTATTAGGATAACTTTCTTTTAGGATTAAAAACGTCCTTCCGTACCTTCAAAAGGTCGTAGCCAAGAATCTCGGACGCCTTGTCGAACAGCTCCTTGGCAGCAGGGACTTCGGCTACCAGGTCCTTGGCCATGCCAACGCTTTGTGCGCCCTGGCCTGGGAAGAGCGCGGCCGTGGTCGGCTTGTACGCGGCGAATGCGTCATCGCTCGCGGCGCGGACGGCCACAGCTTTGCGGCCACGGATTGAAAGCGCAGGTGCGCATGGCTTGAAGGCGTTGACGCGGCCCTGGAGGGCGCAGCGCTGAGCAGACGACAGCAGTGCCATTCTGCACAAGGCGTGGAGGCAAACAACCGAAAAAGAGTGCAAGGGTGCAAGGGAAAGTTCATGTGAAATCATAATTTTGTAATTGGGTTGCAGGTTACCAGTCTGATGCATCCTTGGCGTATGCGTTTTGCGGTCACCGCCGACCTGGGTAACCCAGCGAACAGCAAATGGTGATACTAACCTTTGCTCTTAAAAGTTCGCGCTCTTCCGGCAAGGTCTTCATCGTGCCTAGCATGCATTTTATATGGCTCTGTCAGCGCAGGCGTTATTGTACGACAACTTTATTTCTTGCAAGCTTCCTCCCACTTTTGTCTGTTTGCAACGATATTCTCTTGAATCCTACATATATAACCGTTTTCCTTCAATTGTAAGCTTAGGGCGTACGGGGACTTGAACAAATCCATCGCTATTCAATTATATGAACAGCTACTGTGCAAAGCCAACCTAATCTGCGGGTCAGGACCAGCAGTCCCTGAGGAACCGTTTTCCTAAATATAAGTTAGCATGCAAACCACAGGGCCTAGCTCAACGACGAACCCATTTGCAAGCATCCTAGCCGCGGCTCAGCAAAACGGGGTTACGCTTCCTCGAGTGGCACCAACCCTACCATCTCTGTTGAACTCCGCAACCGGTCTAGTCGACGTCGGCAACACACACCATAGCGCGCTTTGCAAAGTTCAAAGCCTGAGAGCCCATAAGGACGCCCCTTCAGCAGCAGACGTGTTGACGCAAGAAACTCTATGCAAACTGCTGCATACTGCTAACAGCAACAACCGCCTTATTGTCAAGGGCCAGCAGGAGATTGCCGCCAGGTAAGGGTTCCCCATGCTAGTTCCCCAAAGTCCAAGTTGCTGAGTTCCCAATGCCTTCCGGCCACAGGGTGCGAGCCTTGAAGTCAAAGGAGTGCATTCCAGTCGAGCGGCAGCATCAACCGGACTACCTTGCCTTGCTGCGTGCCATCTTCGATAGCGGCTCAACCCTACAGCAGCTTTATGAGGACATTGCCTGGGGCCTTAACACACTGGAACCAGCCGCATCGTGGGAGGACCGTTTACAACCCATCCTCGCCGTCCTCGCCAGCTGCCAGGCGTACGAGTCCTGCCTCAACCAGCAAGACCAGCTCTTGGCACGGACACGCGGCACCATGGTGCCGGCCAACACAGCCACGCAATAACAGTCCCTAAGACGAACTCATACAGGTAATCCAGCTGTTCACTCTCGGCCCATGCAAACCCAAATCCCCGAATACATCCTGCGCACGGCTAAGCCCTGCAACGCAAAGACTCCATTCCGCAGCTTTCTTCCGAGAGAGACTGTCCTGGGTGCTGCCGTCGCCCTGCTTTGCCAACGAATGACTTCCCAAGCGGCCCTTCGATTTAATAACCTGGGAACGCCATCCTCTCGAGTGTCACGTCAGCATAGTCTTCTCACACGGCTTTGCTCGCATCGGAAACTTTAGGCGACCGAGTAGTTATGTCCCTAACGTATTATGCAGCAGGCATGAGCTACTGCTGAATACTGGGGTTGACGACGCTGCAACGACGCTGCAACGACGCTCCACGTCGCGCATGCAATAGTACCAAGGACCATAATTACGTCTCAGCATTCCACACAGTCGTTTGTCCTTGCGTGGATAGAGTTCAATGTAGAAAAAACTTGCGCCACACACGGGGCATTGGCTCATCCTTGCTCCCTTACATGTCGCACCGACTCCCCAATTGTTAGCTCACGCACACCTGCGCATATCCTTGTGCCACTGTTCACCCCTTCTTGGGAATGAAAACACCAGTTCCCATTCCGCTTGCCATATCCGTTGTTACGCTCACGCCGCCTCTGGCCTCAGCGCTTGCCCTCTCCATGTTGTGCACATGTGCCTCACCCCTCTCACTATTGCTAATGCTGAGGACCTCATGTACCTCACCCTCCACGTGTTGCGCCGGCAACCATTTTCCCTCCGTTTTGCGCTGATGAAAACATGGCTTCTGAGTCGCTTGCCTAGTACCCTGCTGAACCTCGGCGTGCCGCTTTTCTCGCTGGCGTTGTTGCTGCCGCTGCAGGACTGCAGCTGCAGCCTGAGCCTGCTGGCGGCTGGTGGCTGCGTCACGATACCAAGGCGCGCGGATGGGCTTGTTGGACTGCAGCTGCACCCGGACCAGCTCCCGAACTAGGTCGTCATCCAGAGATGGAGCCTGCGGGTTTAGTGGCAGATAGTAGGCATACATGGAGGCGTACATGATTGCAATACAAAGCAAGCAGGAGATCAGATTTGATCGTGGCAGAGGGTTTCAAGCGGTGGGTGTGGTGTGAGGCGGCAGTCTAGCTGGCAGCAAGGAGCCAACTACAGGGCAAAAATGGCATCGGTACCAGCGCGTAGATTTCCGGCAAAATGCTGCAGACGTGGTTGCGATGGCAGTTGGAAGGTGGCAACTATGTCCCTGCCTGCCTGCCTGCAACCAGTCTTCCAGTCGAATTTCGACTGGTGCGTGCTTGCGCACATGCAGCCCTGCTGATGATGAGGCGACCGTCCATGCATCGTTGGTGGCGGACTGCAGTGCAACGAGGGTCGGCCAATCGGCTGTGGTGCTTTGTGCAAAAGCAGCATGCCATGGATATGCTATTAGCAGAACAAGCCAGAGATTCTTCATCTTGGTGCTGGATAGCTGCTTGACCTGACTGGCCTGGTCCATAGGACTGCTTGACAGCAGCAGCCAAGCAACGCAACGCTGCAAGCTGTGACTTTGCCGTCGCTTTGGACCGGTAAAGTGCGTGCCAATGCGTAACCCGGGCAGGCTATCACCCACGTCCCTACCATACAGCGACCCCGCGAAAAAACGACGCATTTCCATTATACAGGTTGTGTGGAGACCTCCCTTCGGCCCTGTCGTCTGCATCCGCTCTCAGCCCGCCCCAAGCACCTTCCCGTATGGGTTTCTGCATTTGCCCACAGCAATGACGGCCGGCATGGCGGCCCAGCATATGTCCACACACCCAGCCTCAGCCCGCTCCATTGCCACCTTCCCGACCGTGACCCGACCCGACCATCCGGTCTAAGACGGCCCCAGAGCCCGCGCCCACCTGCTTGCGTGAATGCTGTACATGGCACCATTTGAGCACCGACACTGCATCACGGGGAGGCTTGGCTGTGACCGCACCAGCGCTGCAGCTGCCGGCGCCGCCCACCGTGCTGGGCCCACCTCGAGGACGGCTCCGCGTGCGGCTCCCTCGCCGCTCACTGCCGTCACCACTTTCTCCACCCTCGTCGTCAAGGTAGTGCTTCTGCTGCTCCCGGTGCTCTCCAGCCGGGGGCGGTGGCATCGTGCCTGGCAGATGCGCCTCCTCCATTGTGGTGGCAGCCGTGGGCTCGCTTTGCTGAAATAACATCTCATGTTGGCGTCCTGCCACGAGAACGCCGCTGGCATCTTGCCCGACCCGGTGCTGCAGCTCCATCCCCGGTGATGGCCAGTGCGCCTCCCAAGCACCAGCACCTCCAGAGGTTACCGCATCCAGTGGTGTCGCAGTAGCAGCAGTTGCTGCCGCCGGAGGGGCCAAAGGCGCAGTACAATTCGGAAGCATGGGCGCAGGCGGTAAGTGGCGTGACGAGGCTGGGCTGCGTCGGCGGCTGCTGTCCTGCGCGCTCCAGCGGCCCCGCTGCTGCTGGACAGGCCAGCCGCTTGCTGCTACATCATGGAAGTGTGGTGACACCATCACCGGCTGTGGAGGCTTGTCGCAAATCGCTGCGACGGCGGCAAGGCCCTGCGCAACAGGAGCGGATATGTTATGGCCGCCGCCGCCGCCGCTGCCACCACTTCTACTTGCTGTGCCGAACGGCGGATCGTAATGCTGCCAGGCGACGGTGGGATCGCTACAGTCCTGTGGTGGCTCATCGGCGACTACTAAAGTATGATTGTAGGTTCCGGAGGTGCCTTCACCGTAGCTGCTGCAGGTGCGGTTGCTGCTAGCGTTTTCAGGGATATTAAACGTGTAGCAACCGGCAGCAGCCGCAGCGCCACCATGAGCACTGAGTTGTCGTTGTTGTGGAAATGGCACCGCTGGCGGTGGCGGTAGGACTGGTGGTAGCGGTGGGTGGGCTGGGACCCCGCCACTACTCGGCCACCTGCTGGGGTACCCAGCAGAGGCGGCGGTGGCCATGCCTAATGCGGGTCGGGATGGGAATTACACAAAGCAAAGATCAACTTGTGACGTTCAACCGGGGAGGGGTTCGGTGGTACTGGGGCTATGGAGGACATCGTTTCAATTTCGGCAACAATGGTGAGGTTAGCAAACCAGGCGCCTGTGGTGGTATGTTAGCGCATGAAAGCATGTGCGCAGAAGGCCGCTATGCGCCCGTCTGCATCGTATGCCATGGTGAGGGTTGCGGGGCGCAAAGACTTAGAAAGGGTTTCTTAAACGCCTTTTCGCTGGTGACCTCCTTTAGCATAGTACGGAACATCGCTGCAACCCTAAGTCGTATGATGGAGCGACCTATCGTGCGCAGTTGACATCTTGGCTGCTAACATGCCATTGCGTCTTTCAGAAAATGCCGCAAACGTGTCACAGGAGCATACGTCTACTGCGCCGCCCTCCTGACTGTAGCGGCCGTAGCGCGAAATGACCTATAGCGTGTGAAGTAGAGGCAGATGCGTTGCGGTTGTGACCATTGAATGAACGGGACACGATGCAATCCATTCATGCCGCTTCCCATTTTCCCCTGTAATCGTATGGCCGCAAGACCTAGGGACCGTCTCCCTTTTGTCACACATACCATTTGCACCTGCGCCGTACGTCGTCAGTGCTACATCTCGTTGATCATCCGCCACACTCGGCGCGGCCTTGTAATTTCCGCCATATGGCGGTATTCCAAACTGTAGTACGGCCCACGCGGGTGGAGGCTGCAAGTACACAGGTTGGTTCCTGGGGCCGATCATTGTCCCTGCAGCCTCGTCCACCACTGACTCAAGCTGGGGTGTTGTTGGCGGGGGAACCGCAGCACACACCATCACACCCATGCCGGCACAGGCGCCGCCGGGCTGCTGCTGCTGCTGCTGCTGCTGCTGCGGTACGATCATCGGCACGAATAATGCTGGCGATAACGTGCATGTTGCTGAGCACTGCCGTACTAGCGGCTGCGGGCACGCCGTAGCCAATGGTGCCGCTGGCGGCCATGGCTGCGGGTGCTGTTGCTGCTGGTGTAGTTGCTGTGAGTTCGGATGTACGTATGACGTGGACGCCATTGGCAGCATGGGCAGTTGCATGTGGGGGGCCACCTCAACAGTATGGTCACGCGCCACGACCGATCCCCCCGTTGCAACACCGATCGCCAATGGCCCCATCACATATCCGGCAGCTCCGTCCGGGCGTGTGTTGCCGCCCCCGCAGCGGTAAACTTCGTTAGGCACGTCGTCATGGGCTGCATTGGCGGTGATGGGCATAGGCTGGTGATAATTTGCTGCGTGGGGCTGCAGGTATGGAAAGGTTGGTGGCGGCAGCGACACCGATGGCCCAGGGAATGGTGACCCGTGCAGCACGGCCTGCGCTACCTGGTACGGTAGCTGCCAGCTATACTGCCGCGTTGGTGCCGCCGCCGCACCCAGCGACACAACGCCGTACCGCGCCGGGCCGTCCTGCAACGCGACAGGGAAAGCCCCGCCGCCGATGACGACAGGGCACGGAGGCGCCGGACCCCAGCCCTGCGCCGCTGGCATCGCCGGAAGGCCATGCGCATCCGCTGCGCCGCCGCTGCTGCTGACGACTGCCTCTGTCGCGGGCGTGTAGAACTGGTGCTGGAGCTGATACGGGTGGGAATGTGAATACTGCTGGGCTGTACTTGTTCCAGCCGCTGCCGGGTTGCGATATGCACTGAATCCGCTGCCACGTCGACCAGTATCAGGCACGCCTCCAATCCCGATGCTGCCCACGCGGGATGCGCCCCTCATCGAACAAGTCCGTTGATGAAGTCCCAGCTCCGTCCCGGCCACCGCGACTGCATATTGCCTAGCCGCCGGTGGCGGCAACGGTGCCGCAGTGTCCTGTGCCGCAGCTTGCAACCCTCCCTCGACCGTTGCTGCTGATGATGTAATTGTTCTTCGGGCTGAGCTGGCCGCGACCGGTGATGCAGGCTGCGACCTGGGATGGGGAGCCTGAGCAATGTGGTCCGTAGGCTGCGCCTCAGCCGCGCCGGTGTCGGCCGCCGTGCCAGCTCCTCCACTGCTATCGCCGGCTTCACTGTCGCCGTCGGGCGGCAGGGCCTGCATGGCGGCATGTGCGAAGGGCGACGCCAGCGCGAAGCGTGTCGCAAGTCTCGGCAGCGACACCGCCGCCGAGGATGCACCCACCATCCCCTCCGCCTCCACCTGCACAGCCGTCTCGTGCCTACTGGTTCCCTCCACATACTCCCCCACTGCTGCAGCCTTGATACCCGCAACGCCGTCCAAGGACTGACGCACCGGAAGAGCATGCCCAGCGATATCCGCCGCCTCGTCATGCATGCCTGCAGCACCATGTGCCGTACCCGCAGCTGTCCCTCCGTCGGGGGTTCCCCGTTTCAGGCAGGCCACGGCGGACACCGCCCCGTGCGGCTCGGCCGCTGAGGGGCCAACCTCCGCTGACGGCAGCCCCGCGGCGGCAGCGGTCGCCGTTGCGACGCCGCCAAAGGCGCTGACGATTCCATCAGTTGATAAAGCAGCTTCTCCGCCCGCATTCGCCACAGCCGGTGTTGAAGAAGCCCTCATCTCGCCGGCGGCTGCAGGTATCACGGTGACTTCAGTAGCGGCGGCGGCGCCGCCGCCGCCGCTTCCGCGGCTGCTACCACGCACGGCCTTCCGTGGCCGAATGGTTCTCGCGGTCGTGAGAGTGAGGGGTACGATGGAGGACGGTGCATGGAAGTCGTCGCCGCCCGCATAGCCCGGGGACACCCCCCCTGCATCCCCTCCTCCCGTGCGCGTACCACCACCCTCAGAACAGCCCTGCACCAGTGTCGTACTGGCGGCGGTTGCCGCAGCGGCAAAGGCGCTGCAGCTCCCATGGCCGACTGCCGAGATCTTGGTGGATATTGCCGCACTGCTGGAAGCGGCGGTGACCTTTCTGCCTGGTCGGTTCGGCAGCTCCGCTCTATTCACTCCGTCGAGGTCGCCGCCGCCGCCCCTACATACGTTACTGGCTTCAGTCCCCATACCGCTACCCGTGCTTGCCCCTGTGGCCTGCTGGCCGCCGTCGTCGGCCCCGCTGCAGGTCACCCCTGGCTTCATATCCGCCGCCGCGGCATCGTACCTGCTGACACCAGCGGTACCGGCAGCATCGTCGTACCCGTGTTCGGCTGTCTGTCGCACTGCGCCGCACCCAGTGTGCCGCCGCCACAGCTCCTTTTGGTAGCTTATCGCGGCCGCCGCTGCGTCCTCAGCGCCTTGCACTGTAGCGTCTGCTGTCGCCGCCGCGGCCGCCACGGCAGCTGTAGCAGCTGCGCCTGCGGAAGAGCTCTGTGGATAGCCGCAACAGCAACAATGACGCGGATCTTCTTCTAGAGCTGCTGACGAAGGGGCGGATGCGCGTGGCCCAAGGGTCGCCCGGCCGCTGCCACTGCCCATTGCGCGGAGGGGTACTGGCTGCGGTGCCGGGCGGCAGGTGGCGGCAACTGTGGAGCGGTTCCCGATGGAGGAGGTGCGCAGCTGGGGCCCCGACGCCGTTGATGGCGCACCGGCGCTACCGAGCTGCTGCTGCTCGGCGGCGTCCAGCGGCGGTCCCCACCTGGCCCCGTTCACTGGGGCAGCTCCATCCGGCTCTGCGTCGCGGCGGCGGCAGCGATAGGCCATGCATGTCTCGTGATGAGCCCTTGATTTCGTGCGCATTCAAGCGCCATTGACCGGATGCCATCCAACGGGTTAATCGTTAGTCCCAGCAAACTGTCCCAGCGACAGCCTAAGCAGTCATGTGTATGTGCGCGTGTGTGTGTTGTGTGTGTGTGTGTGTGTGTGTATTGTGTGTGTGGGGGGGAGAGGGCAGCAGGCCCTGAGCCGAACGCCACCAACACGCCGCCATCAATGCATGCCATGCAGACCATATCAGCAAATGCACAAAAGCACCTTGGAACCAAAGCTCGCTCCACAACCTTGGCAAAATTGTTAAGGATTGTTACTATTTATGGCAACTTATGCCTCCTGTAAAGAGCCGGTCAAAAAAGCGCTATCCAAGAACAACAGCAAACGTGCAAGAAGCTGCAGCACCTGCCCTGAGCCCTAACAACCTCCTCACGCCCACCCACCTCCAGCACCCGCCTCCAGCATCTCCACCGCGTGCATCAGCGCTGTCAGTGCCGCATCCCCCAGTCCCGCAAACATACGCTCCAAACTGGACGCGTCCCCGCATGCAGCCGCCGCCACCATGCAGTCCAACCATCCCGGTTCGTCCAGCCGCGACAGCCCCGATACTCCTTCAAGGTGATGCCGGCGCTCATGCTGCTGTTGCTGCCGCAGCGGCGGCGATGGCGGTGGCTGAAGCGGCGGCCGTGGTGGCGGCGTCGGCAGCCTGCCGGGCCTCCGTCTCTCCTTTGCAAAACTCAGTGCCACACCTTGCCTGGCGGCTAGTACGGCAGCAGGGTAGGAGCCGCCGCCGAAGGTGGCAGCGCCGAACGGGCTAGAAATAGCGGCGATGGTGCGCGGTGTGAGGAGCTCGTCCTGCTGGGCCGCGTTGCCGCCGCGGCCGCTATTGTGCATCCTTACAGGCCGTACATGCCGCGCAACGCCGCCCCCAGCGGCAGCGATTTCGGCGGCTGGGACCCTCCAGCCCTCGTTGAAGCACTGACCCGCGACGGCCGAAGGTGCCGATGCCGCTGACGTACCCCTGTGCGTGGCGGCACACTCCTCCGTTTTCCGGTGGTGCGGAGACAACCGCCCCGGGAAGGAGGGCTCCCGTTGGGGCAACCGGCGGAGCGAACCGTCGCAATGGACCTGAAACCCCGCAGCAGCTGCGGCCTGCCGCGGCTGTTGCTGAGGCGGCGGAGGTGGAAGCGGCGGCGGCGGCGGCGGAGGGGCTTGCCACATCGAAGTACGCGGCGTTGGCACATGATCCATTTGCCGCTGCGCCGTGTGCTTATTGGGCCGGTGCGGGTAGTGCTGGTTGTGCTGCTGGTAATGCTGCCGCAGTTCCGTAACGGAGCTCGAGCCTGGGGCCGCGCCGTCGGTCTTCCTATCCGGCTGTGCCTGCGAAGGAGGCGGTGGCGCCGGGTACCGCCGCGCCGCGCGGCCCATTGCAGCTGCCGAGCCGCTGCAGCCGCTGCTGCCGTCGGCATTGCTGCCGCCTTCACTGCCGCAGCCGAGTGACCTTTCCCAGCAACGGATGCGGACGTCGGCGTGCGGCGAGGCGGGCTGCTGGTGGTGCTGTAACTGTGGGGGCGGCGGCGGCGGCGGCGGGTAGTGGTACTGCGCGCGCCAGGCCCACGTAGACGGCTGCCCCGTCGGCACCTCAGCCTCCACGTCCCGGAGCCCGGATGGGGACGCAGATGCAGACAGGCGGGGAACTGGAGGACCTGGCCAGCCAGATAGCCTTATGCCACCGCCTCCGTCACCATTGCCGCCGTGGTCGCCTGCCGCAAGCATCGTCACCGGTCTGACGTCGCCCAGGCCACAGACCCTGCAGCCGTGGCCCGTGCCGTACGCCTGCGTCGGCTGAGACATGCGCTCCAACTGCGTCGGTGCACGAACAGTGTCCACGGCGGCCATTCTTGCAGCCAAGGAGCTGTCCTGGCCGCCGCCGCCGCCGCCGCCGCCGCCGCCGCCATCACCGAAGTCCTCGCTGATCGCTGAGGACGTGGTGGTCGGTGCGGCAACACCGACGGATGCAGCCGCCGCCGCCGCCGCCGCTGCGGTCGCGACTGCCGATGAGATTTCCAGGTCCAGTACCTCGAAATAGGAGGGCAGGTTGGCAACGCGTCCGCTGCTGCAGCGACGGTCCAAAGTGATCCGGGTCACCAGCTGCTGCCGTACCTGCGCACTGCCGCCGCCGGCTCCGGGACCCGCGCTCACACCCGGCGAGGCAATTGCGACTATCGCTGCCGACGATGACGCCGCTGTGCCCCCTACCGCCGTCCCCACAGGCGTTTGCGGCTCCAAGCGCTCCTCTGCTGAGGTGAGCAGCTTGGCGGGCGATATTGGATCGTGGGGTTGTACGGCTGGCAGCTGGGGTTGTACGGCTGGCAGCTGGGAATGCGCGACGGTCTTAGAGGACGGTGGATAGTAGCTCTGGAAGCTGCCATCAGGGCCGGCATCAGAGGCCGCGACAAATGCCGTCGCTGCTCTCGCCAGCACGTGCAGCTGTGCAACGGGAGACTTCTCTAAACTGCCGTTGTCGCGCTCGCCGCCGCCGCCGCCGCCGGCGCTGCTGCTGCTGCTGCTGCTGCCCTCAAAATCGCCGGCCTTCGTCGCCGCCGCCGTCGCCGCCAATGGTGACAGTGCCGGCGGTGCCGGGGCCTCGGCCGCCGCTGACACCGCCGGTAGTCCGCGCGACGCTGCGTGATGCAGCCTTATCGCCGTACGCAGTACGGCTGTGCGCTGTGTAGCGTCCAGTGACGCCACCCTGGCGGCGAGCAGCCTGCCGGAGGTCGTCCGACTGAGCAAGCTGGCAGCCGCGGCGGGAGGGGAAGAGGGAGCTTCCGGCCGCCCTGTGCGGACGCCACCCTCCGCAACTTGCAGCTGATGGCGGGGGAGCGCCGCCTCAGGCTGCCGCGGCTGGGGAACTGCTTCTTCCGGTGCCGGCACCGATGAAAACAGCACAGCTGCCAGAAGTTGCGTGCTCTGGGACTGGGTCTGCGTTGCTGTGACAAGACCTGGCTGCTCAGCAACAGCAGCAATTGCAGCTGCACGTGCTGCCGGGGCCGTCGCTTGCAAATGGACCAGCGTTGGCGGTGCCGCCGCCGCCGCCTCCTCCGCCGCCGCCGCCTCCAGCAGAGTCCTCTGCAGCGGCATGCTGGCACCTTCTGACAACCTATCGCTGTTTAACGCCGAGAAGTCACGACACGAGGAGCCGTCGAGGGATAATCCTACAGTCCCAGCCGCCGCAGCCGCCAGCGATGGCGGCGTCGGTCGCTGAGTCTTTGTTGACCCCTGCGCCGTGGTGGCCGCTCCCCCTCCCCCCCCCCGCCGCATACCGACACGCGGCACCCAGGAGGTCCTGCTGCCGCGGCTACTGGTGCGACCTCCACCGTCATGCGTGTTGAAGCTACTGCCGCCCCCGCCGCCAGTGCCGCTGCTGCGCGCCTCGTGGCCCTGGCTAGGGCGGGGCTGCAAGCCAACCCCTCCAACAAAGCCGCCCCCATCCTCCCCATGTTCCGGCCCCCGCTCCTGATCTCTTTCGGGAGTGTGCGGGCCCTCTACGATGACATGGCGCGCGCAGCTACCGCCCCCGGGGGCCCCATTGCCTGCATAGCGTCCGCTGCTGGCGCCGCTTTGACTGTCGGCGATTTGGGTCGCTGCCGCCGCCGCTGCCGCCGCCGTCGCCGCATCTCTGTCCGTAAAGCTTTGGGACAATGCCCCGCCGCCAGCACCAGGGGGCTCCGCCAGCCGCCGGGGGGTGCTTTCGTCGTCAGGGGGGTTCTCGGGTGCTCCCGGTGAGGCGGCTGCTGGGGCCGCTGAGCTCCCACCGCCGCTGCTTCCCGCGGTGGCCCCACCGCGGCCCTCACGGTCGATACGTGGCGGCGACCGTGACGACATCCGGCAGCTGGGAACAAGCGCCTCATCTGTCCGCGGTTGGATCAGAACGATTAGAACTAGGACGTGTTAGGAAATGGATTACAATACAATACGAGATATAGCTGCGCGTGGGAGGAGGGAGGGTGCCATGCATGACTTTACATTTTGCATATGGCAGCTCACAGCATATGGGGGGGGGATTGCGGGGGCCCTGTACGGGGAGAAGATAGGGACGGAGCGTGTGCAAGAAAAGAAGACGCGCGAAGGGTCAGCAGGTCTGCCGAAGTCTGAAGCACACGAACAGCAAGATTCCAAAGCTATGACGCAACGGGGGGAGAAGGGGTTTCAGCACCAGCTGACGCATGGGGCGCGCAATGAGGTGACTCGTGCAGCATACCTACTCGGCGCACTGGGCACTGGGCACTGGCATTGGGCTGGGCTGTGAAGCACTTGCTGCTGCTGCTGCTGATGTCCTTGGCTTTCCCTAGGGGTTCACGGGTGCCTACTAGTGATGGGCAGCAGGTAACGTATTGCCGTTGCATAGATGCAATTCGTGTGCAGCCGGCTTGCCGGGAGCTGATAGGTGACACAGCGACCCACGGGTCGCAGCTCATTCCCCATAATCATGGCCACTGACGTTGCGCCAAGGCGTGCCACGCAAACGCTCAAAGCAGCAAGGTGTAATTTGACTGACCGGAGGGAAACATGTTTCAACTTGAATCGAATCATGAGCAGTTCTAAACCTCCGAGGAAGCGCCATAAGGCCGAGGTCAGAACCAGAGAGGGCTCTTAGTGAACTGGCCCTTACCTTTTTCGTCTGCTAGTAATGAATGATCGCTTTTCCTGCAAAGTAAACCAGGTGTACAGTTACATTCACCATGCTGGCTGCTGCGCGGCATGTGCTTTGCGCCCGGAGCTGCTGGCGCCAGGGCTGACAAAGGGCCCCGCAAAGAACTCCGAATCGGGAGGGAGACCGGAAGAGGATAACCTTCCATGCCAGCTGCAAAGGCTGTGAACGATGCATATACTTTAAATTCGATTATTTCGCGTCAGGTCTTGGTCTAAATCCGTGCTGTAAATATGATGCTTACAACAAACCAGCCCGTTGTGTATGTCACGCAATCGGTCCTTGTTGCGGGGATGCAGTAACGGGGTCCAAGTAGCCGTCCCGGCACTTATTCGAACTTAGGTTGCTGTCAGGCCGAGGGACGAAAATGGTACGGCACGGCCAGTGGATTTCGCGCCACTTTGGGGCTGTACTAGCGTTGCGTATTACACGGATACTACAGAATATGTCCACTGCGGGCCATGCTAATCAGAGATTTAGCGCATGGAGGGTTGCAGAGGGCGTGATTCAGGACCCTGTTGCAACCCAGGGCTGAGATCTGACGCTGATTTCGTCCGTGGAATACCGCAATTGGGCCTCGGAAGGGTTCAACCTGGGTAGCCTTTGGCCCCTCAAACTGTGGCATAGTGAAAATAGCGCGTCGAAAGGCTGTTGAACTAAGGGCTTTGGCTATGTGCTGACTTCATCATGTCCTGCATCGTCGGTGTAATTACCGACGGCCACAGACCGGCTGTGAGTTCATGCGATGACCACAACGATCGATATAGTGCACAGACACTGTCCCAAGGGTCAGCGACCACTCTGCCGTTGTAACGTTGCCATAGTGGTGGTTCCCGGACATGCAGGGCATGTGGCCCCAGAAATTCTTTTCCCATCGACAGGTGAACACTGTGTATTAGGAATACTGCGTGATCATGCACGATGTGATTGGTAGCGGCGAGTAGGCACCGGGCTGTGATTTCCCTACGCCACCTCTGACTGTTATGAAAATAAACCCAAGTGAGCCCGAAATCACTTCAAGGAAACTGATGTTTTGCATGCAAGCACGTTTTAGCTTGCGCCCTTCTGGAATGGACTATACATCCTCTCTTGATCCTCAACGTAAGAGTGTAGACAAACTTATGCTTAGATCAGGAAAAAGACTGGTGTTGGTGGATTTATTTTATACCTTCTGATGACAGTTAAAGGGCGTTATGCAACAAGAAGTCGTGATCCATCTCATCGGCAGGACACATGATAATGGCCCCTCGTCGCCATGGCGACCTACTACGCTAAAACTTGCCTTTAATAACTCGCTTCGTATTTAACTATTCTTATCTATTTCTTTATTGAGAAATGGCTCTTGCTGCGCGCCGCGTTGCTGCCCCTACGGCCCGCACCTCGGCCGTCCGGCCAGCGTTCAGCCGCGCAGCTCCTCGTCGTGCTGTCCTTGTTCGCGCTGAGGCAGGTGCAGCTAATGATGATACATTCAAGTCAGTTGTGCTGGAAAGCAAGGTTCCAGTGCTGGTGGACTTCTGGGCGCCTTGGTGTGGCCCTTGCCGCATTATCGCCCCTGTCGTGGACGAGATTGCAAAGGAGTTCACTGGAAAGCTCAAGTGCGTGAAGATCAACACGGACGAGAGCCCGAACGTGGCGTCGGAGTTTGGGATTCGGTCGATTCCGACCATCATGGTCTTCAAGGGCGGCAAGAAGTGCGAGACCATCATTGGCGCCGTTCCTAAGGCTACCATCGTTCAGACAGTCGAGAAGTACCTTGGTTAGAGGGTTTCAGGGTGTGAGTGGCTTGGTGCTGAGGCGCACAGTATATAGAGCGCTGCGGGAAATAGAGCGTGGTTGAACGGGAAGCCAGGCAACGTCGCCTGGAGGTGTGGTTCCATTGGTCGGCAATTTTGGCGGATGGGGCTGAAAGAATAAGGCGCTCGCACGGTGCGGGCTAAGTTTTTGATGATTCTCCCGGCATGTTTTGAGTGATCGCGGCAGACATCTGAGTGTTTGTGCCATGCTGACGGTTTCATTTGTGGCGCATGCCACTGACGACGTGAGGTCCTGGTGTAACGCGCAGAGTATCGGAGACGCGCAAAGCTGTCTGTGATAATCCAGCGCCCCGAAATGACCGTGAGCGAGACTCGTATGATCCTCGTTGAAGTCCCCCTCCTAGTGTCCTTAGCGCACCGCACGAAGAGGGCTGGGTACACCGAAGAGGAGCAGGTTCCCACAATCCGTTTTGGTGTTTCAGGATGTGTAACAGACGGAAGCGTTGCCGTACCTTGCCGTACCTCGTCAGCAATCCCTAATGCACCGCTGCCCCTCCACGTAACTGCGCGTAGTGACGTAAACCGAAGCGCATCACATGTTGACACATCAGCAGCTTCGCAGCATGCTTATCCTCCAGAACTGTTTAGCTTCAGAATCACAGAGTTTTTGACCCTGCGCAGGTAAGCCGATAATTTCATCCTGGGCTGAAACCCCAAATGCAAATCCAGTCAAAGGCGCGGCAGTGCGCGCACTGTCAGCACTGTCTCGTTACACAGACCAAGGTAGGAATAAGCGTGACTAGGTCAGTCCATCCCACGAAAACAACGAATAATAATTGTAAGGATTCCGGATAACTTTAAACTACGAAACAGCTCCGAAACCAGATGTGTTTGATCATTAGTAACTGTCCCATCCGCCTTCATCACTTTTATCCTTGCAAATTGGCATCCTGCGGCACGGCAGCAAAAGGCAAAAGGGAAAACAGTCATAAAGGCAACCTGTCGCCGCGGAAACCTGGCAAAAAAATCGAGATTGCAACTACGTGGCCTTCACAGACATTGCACATTCCTCTCACGTGAATTGCTGTCGTTAAGGGCTGCTGAGCCCCTAGCCGTTCGGTCCTCTTGCCTACCAAGCAACCCTCGCCTATGCCGCCGCTAGTGAGGGGCCCATGAGTCTTCGACTGAATGCCGGGTTGTACCTGCGATCCAGCCTGCACACAGCACTCCGCAGCGCGCGGTTCTGAGCCCGGAGCCGCGCTATCTGGCGCTCGTGTCGCAGCAGCGCCCGGAACTCCTCCGCAGAGGGCTCTCTTGCCGGGCCGGAGGGCCCCGTGCACCTGCCGGCACCAGTGCTACTGGAAACAAGCGGTGCGATGGAGGTGTGGTGGACCGGGCCTTGTGTGGATGGTGGCATAGCATCTTGGTGCGCGTGCGGCAGCCTGTCGCTTGTTCCCAGTTCCATCTGCAACACGGGCTGTACAAACCCATGCGATTGCAGCGTCTGTTGATGCTGTGACGGGTCTAGCTGCGTGGCGGGGTCCCAGGCGGGCCCCAGGGGGCCTGCTGCAGCTCCCGGCCAGGGTGAGGACTGCGGCGACAGGGGCAAAGTTAGATCCGGGGCGCGGCCACCTCCGGCGTTGCTGTCGCCTCCGGGAGGTTGCGGTGCGCCCTGCGGCGAGAGCAATGGCGACTGGCCAGTTGCTGCTGCCCCCTCAAAGTACCTGGGCTGTGGGAGGGTGTTAGAAGCGTTTCGCAGCAGGTGGGAGCCTCCAGGGAGCTGAACCCCCATTTCCTGCAACCTGGCCTGTCCGAAGTGCACCATGTTGCCTGCGGCAGGGCGGTGCGCGCAACAGAAATCAACAATATCGCTTGGGGCCCAGGTTTGGAACAAGCTAGCAGCAGGACATCTGTTCGCATCACGGCGATTGTTGCGTTGCCATCATAACGTGTGAAGGCAGGCAGCTTTTCGCCAGCAGTTAGCGGTGTTGTGTGCATGAAAGAGGTTTATGGGGGCTTAGGGCAATCAGGACCGGTGAAATGCCTTTACATCCCACTATCCTCTGCCACCCCTATTGACTGAGTTCGCTGCATAAGGGTGACGTGTCCGCCCCAATTAACGCGCTTGCCGAATTTTCACCGAAGCAGGAAAAGCAGGAATCGGCTGTTCTCGTGCAGCATGTCGTTAGAACAGTACTGTAGCAAGCTGCCGTGATATTACCTACCAGCGGACGCACCAAGGTTCGTTTCGGACGCCTTTCATCATGACCGCTGCAACTTTAAGGGAGCAAGTAGACGGTGGCGTGCAAGGTGTAGAGCAAGGGGTCAACTCTAGATACACTGGGCGGCCGCTGCAGCACGCTACTTAGGGTTTGCTGTAACGGCTAATCACGGTAACGACAAGAGCGGTCTGCACCTAAAGCTGCGAAATCACCTGCAGCGCCCTCCACAAGCCGACTTAGCTGTTCGGCAACGGAAGGTTTGAGGAAGAGGCCCGCACCGAACCCGTAGCCGACGCCCACGCCGCACCCCAAGCCCGCGTCCAAACCCTTGACTCCCAGTCTGCGGACCAACTCCCTGACGCCTGCACTGGCTCCACCTAAGAAGCCACTGGCATGGCTTATGCCGCTGATCATGTCAGCAACGGCTTGGCCTACTGGCTGCATAGCGGCTGGCAGCAACAGAGGAACACGGCCCACATCATAAAGTTAGCTGAGGCTTTTCCAACAGACAGCTGTGCTTTACGACACACCAAGATTTATTGGCTTCCCGAAGCCAATACCTATTCCGCAGCCAACTCCGAGTCCTGCGGCAGCCACCTTCGAGACATCATCCGGGCGGTGGCCGCCCAAGCCAGGGCCAACACGCAGCACCTGCACCGATTGAACCGATCCGCAAAGAGACTGGTAGACTGTCTACCATAGAGCGCGAATCCATTTCAAAAGCTACGCCTTTTCAGGGAACAAGAAATGCACTAGGTTAAGGAAGTCTATCCAGACTTAACCTAACTGTATTGCTGACTGTGTGTGTTACTCAGTAATATATACTATTACCCGCGAGCCGACCAGGAATGGAGTTGGGCCGCTGTCGACCCGGCAGATTCCGTTGGATGCTGGTGGTGGGTGCGGAACCTGAGCGATCCACTGAGATGTTGACTAGGGTGCCCCGAAACACCGGGGAAGGCAGGGTTTCGCAGGGTAGCTGCCACGGGCGAAGATACACCCCCCTGTTTCGCACATCATACTATACTGTGTTGGGGCCTCTAAGGAAAGCGCGTCCGATCGCCGTTCGGGCTTTAACTTGGTGCTACATGTTGATAACGGACAAGTCGTGTAGCTTCCTGTATTAACCCAGCCGTAGAGCTCCTAGGTCAGCAAGATGTGTAGGTGAGCCAGACACGGTTTTAATACCATGCTTTTACAAACGTAGTGAAGGTTTTCCTAGTACCCCACCGCCCCCGTTTCCCTCTTTAGAAAAATGGGCATACCAGGGGGAGGCAAGGAGAAAGCGCCGCACGTAAGTACAATGACTTTCTCATCGTTATACAGGTTTCCTTTTCATTCCTTGCTGTCCTAATACCTTCCTTAGTTCTTGTGCTGTCCGGATAAATCCTTTTCTGGGTACTGAACGAAATCCCATAGCAAAAGTGAAGCATGCCGGAAAAGCGACAGGTCCAGCAGAAAGAACAGTTACATGGTGGAAAGCCCCCTAGGTTACATGAACGCATCTACACGAAGCCAGCACATGCCTAATGTACCGCATGACCGGTGTACGACATGCCAAGATCGTGGTCAATGTGGACATGCAGGAAACTTGTGAAAGATTCACTCGTCATCGTCCATCAGGGTGGCCAGCTTCTGCTTCAGGTTCTCACGGCGCTGCTCCAGAGTCAGCTTCTGCTCGTGCCAGCGCTCCTGGGTGGCGGGCTTCGTGCGGGGCTTCTTCTCCTTCACTGGGTTCTCGCGAATGTTCTTGTGCACCTGTGACCCATATGCCATCCGCGACACGCCGGTAATGTAAGCCGATCGCGAACCGACGCAGGATGTGACCACGAAAGGCATATTCCCAGACAAGGCAGGAATTAATACACAGCCGACACAGTTAAATTAGTAGTTGTTCAAGAGAAAATGCAAAAGGAACACGGCAATCGCTGAGGCCGTTAACACTGGAGCAGTCGGTTAACACTCCTACCGAAGACACGGAACAAAGTCGACGTGCTGACCGCACCTCTGGGGCTCAAGCCTCTAGGAAACACAAACAGATTGCCATACATGTGATGCACTGTTACTTTCGACCAATAGCAAAGCCTCAAGAATCGTGCCCACTTTCCCGAAAATGTCCTTACTGCTGGGGCATGGTCACTTTTTGTGCAGCCTGGAGTGTGCAAACCGTTCCTAGCGTCAAGGGCAATCAGATAACCAGACGCTACAGCACCCGGAGTTCCCGGCCGACAGCAAAGCCTGGCCAGGACAACTCGGGCCCTCCGGTGCACTTCCGAGATCATTAGGGATCGGGTGCAATATCACGGAGGCATTAGGCCGTAGCGCCAACCTCCACCGGACAGCCACAAGGGCGCCCGTCGGGAGGTGAGATAGCTGCCTGCAACCAGAGTTGCGAGGTAGAATCCCATAGCACAACGCGCACATCGTGCATGGTTCCGATGCACCGAGACAGCAAGGCCAGTAGTGAATGTTCTAGGCTTAATACATTCTTGCAAATCGCCATTTGGAAGATGCCCATGGGGCGATGGTGGACCCAATGCTAGCCTTATGGCCTCCCGAGCAAGTAACCATTTGCGGTGTCATACCAGGAGCTTCGAGAATCCATACCGTCCTTCCCCGTATGTGTACCTGAAGACCTACCTGGAGGAAAACGCTGTGCTTGTGCATTGTTGTCATGGGGCATAACATGGGGCATCATTGTACCATATACTATCCCGAAGGAACTACGGACCAATCCAGACATGGACCCCCGCATTAGCCATGGACAGGAGGCATGGGCCTGTCCCTCGACATGCCCATGGTCCACAGCACCCCTCCTTCCCGCAGTCTCCACGGATTACATTTTAAATGGCACAGCAATCAGGTAACCCATAAGAAATCCGCACCTCCGCGTACAGATCCTCCAGGTCACCGCCACTGATATCCTCCTCGAGGAACTTAGAGAAGTGCTTCGTGTACTTCTCCGGCTCCTCCTCCTCCATCTCCTCCATGTATTCAGCGACGTGGCCACCGAAAATGTACTTCTTCATGATCTCAGGATCAAACTTCTTGCTGCTGCGATCATAGCCCACGAAGCGCTTCTCGTTGTGGGGAATATCCAGGCCACCATCCAGCGCGCCCTGTTACAAAAACATAAACCAACCGCCTTAACCTGACTATAAATAAATTCTTCAACTTAATTTGTCGTCGGAGTACTCCAAATACAAGATTCCGGTGACTCGAGCCTATGCGCCGCCGCAAGAGCGCACCTTCAGGCAGGCGAACACCTTGGATCCAGTCGAGGTGCGCTTCAAACCAGTGTCCAAAAGGCAGTAGAAGGGGCGGGGCCCGTCCTCAACAGGATCGACGTTGAAGTCCTCACCATCGGGCTCCTCCTGGCCGGGATAGTGCTCAGCCAGGTTGAACTTGGTCAGAATCCGGCGAGCGACCAGCAGGCCAACACAATAGCAAGAAGAGTAGTTGGTCAGGCCAGCCTTAAGGCCGTAGTCGGGCAGCTCGTGCGCGTAAGCTGCGGCCTCCACAATGTCACCCTTAATAGTGGAGCGAACAATCTGGCAGGTAACGTCGCGGTTGCTGAAGCGCACCACCAGCCGGTACTTAGGCGTGTTGTACTTGTTCTTATCCTGCTTAACCAGGCGCAGACGAGCGCGGTAGTCGGTCTTGCCCTCGCGCCTCCGGCGGTACTTCACCTGGAAGCGGCTGAAGTAGGCCGAGGTCTTGACGACCTTGACGTAACCCATCTTTGCTGCTGTCTAGGTTTCTGGCCCCTGCCGGTGGCGTAATGGGGAAAGGAATGAGCTAAGCACGGAGAGGGCACAAATCGTCGGCTATTGTACGAAACCATCGTACATGAACTCGTTTGTAGGCTTTTGTAGACTATGCAATGCTGCTTAATTTATGAGAATTTCGATAGAGGCTAGCTATTGCGTGAGGTTGTCATCTTTTGGGTTCATGATGCTATAAACTTTTCAATGCTGTCCTGTAGGCAATCTTAGTGTCCATCGTCGTCCTCTTATCGTTAGCCGCACCTAGCATCCAATGTCCATTCGCGCTTACATGGACAGTTTGCCTACACAGCCACCATGAGTTTCCTGGGATGCTCTTCTCCTCCTGTAACCTTTAGAGCATGACTTATACACTCCATAACGTGCTGTCATTCTGCCGTTTCGTGGTGCGTTGCCGTGCTTGTTTGGATCCCCATAACCCTAACCATCCCCGTAACCATCCAAACTTGAAGTTGGAGCATTGTCGCATTTTGCTCCACATAAGGCACTGGCAGGGTGGAGGTCAGGCAGCCGCGAACAACTGCCTTTCCTGGCCCAGCACATGCACGCAGACCATTGCATGGCCTCCACCGATGCATCGCCGTCGTGGACCGTAAGTCTCAGGCTGCGCAGTCCATCCGCATCGCATTGATTGCATTCCCACGCTTTGTGTGTCGATGGCCTGGCCATGGGACCTTCTACCTCGCTGGGATGGAACCGGTGCGTACCTTAGGGTCAAACAAAAGCTAGCTCCATGAAAATTTCATACATTCGAGGAATAACCGCCGCTCGCTATGTTGTCTTGCCTTGCTTTGACCTTTCCTAGTCCCAGAAGTCCGAACCACCAGCTGTGTCCGGTGGGAAGAGGCATCAGCTACCACACGTGTGCGCAGATTATGAGGACGGTTGCATTGCCAGTCCATAACTATGTTGGAGGTGGACAAAAGACAGAAGGGCGAGGGAAAAAACATCTCAGCAATGGAGCGAGCATGTGGTAAGGATTCCGAACATTAAATCACGAATGTGGGGCTGCTTGTTGGCAGCTTTAACCGGCAGTATAGGCATTGCAGGTCCTCACCCACATTCCAAACACCGGCTGGAATGCGAGAGGGAAACCACTTGAAACGCTGTCTAGGGACAACGGGTGCTGGGAAACCGGGTGATGCACTGCAAGACCGGCGCTGCACATGTGCGTGGGGGAGTGCACACCCTTGAGTGGGCTATGGAGCTTGACGGGATATCTTTGTGTTTGCATAACTAGGCCTCAGCCATTAAGCTATTTGCCTGCCATAGTGCACAGCCTGTCCATAGTGCACAGCCCCTTCCTCCAGCCATCACGCCAATCCCTGCTGCGCAGCTCGAACCGCAGAGCTTGCACACTAAGGTGTTCTGTTTGATGAACGATCACTTCTTCCCGGTAGCGAAATCTTTCAATAGTTCCCATCGCCTTCGGTGCTAATCAAAGCCTCAGTGTGCTCTTGCGGGGACTGGCTACTTTAAATTACTTTGAATTTGGACATGTCAGCATCGTGCCATGTGGCAATCCTTGAGAAAGAATTACAAGATTACAAGTCCCGCACAAATGCGGGGGTGTCCGTCAAAGCCTCGTGCCATGGACTATACAAATTGTCAGTTAATTTCGCCGAACAAACTGAATGTCGGTCCAGCCACCTGCCACCTAGATCTCTCCGCATCCAGTCACCCGACATCTGTAGAGACAGATTAGCCATTGCAATCAGTCCAGCATGCGAAACTCAGTCCATCAACTAGACCTAATTTTCAACATCACGGTCACTAGCATCACCTCATCCTCCCAATTGATGTCGGGGATCAGCCCAGGTGTCGAATCCAGGATCTTTATTTTTTAACTGCTAAACGCAGTGATGACTATATGTGAGTATGGTGTTTCGGAGCAGCGGGACATCATCCTGCATCAGCCGTGCAACGAGTGACAGGCCTAAGGTGGGTTAAGAAGTTAAGGATAAAGCATTCGTGCTCTGTTTGCCTCCAGAGCCCAGCAACATAAACGAAACTGCATTAGCTTACGATGTGCTAAACGAGGAATGAAAACCTTAGCATGTGTTGGCCACATGACGGGCAAAAGAAAAGGGCAGCCCCATCCAGTGCTTATACTTCGCCATTTGCACTCCCGGTTGGCTCCCATCTGATGGGTACTCCTCTGGCAAGACAGTCAGACGCGTATGGTCCCAGCCGCTCATCAAACGCTCTCTTAGCGCCGTTATCATCGCTCCTTCGGGTAGAGGCCTACTCAACAACTAGTCAACACGCGCCTTTACCCCCAGGACTTCTTGCGGTATTCCGCTCCAAATATTGCACTCCAAGAAGGAAAACAGTCGTAACATTGAGGTTCCCCAACCCTCCCATTCCGGGTTGGTCAGGGCATCGGTTATCTCCTGCCGTAAAACTGCATGAGCAATGGACCCCACTTGCTTTTGAAGGCGGTTCCAGAAACGGAGGATCTGTTTTACCATGTAATACTGTAAGGGGAGTTCAGCCAGCTCCGCATACAACAGCCTGTGGGAGGGCAGTATGGGCAGCGAAATGGCTGAGGCCTACTACCCAGCTGATAACGAGGAGGTCGATAGCGTGGCAAGTGATGAGGTGTACGCGTCGGAGGAGACGGACGATGAGGAGGTGGCAGGTGTGGAATAGGCGGTTGCGGCAGAGGTGGATGAGGAGCGGCGCCTCCTTAGCTTTTGGGTAACATCCTTGCCTCAACGATTGCCCCTAGGCCCCGTGATCCCAAATAAAATCAAACACAGGTAAAATCAGCCAATCTTTTTGCGATAGAATCCAGATTAAATTTACCCGGAAACTGCTTGGGACAGTTTTCGGGGTGCCCGAAAAAATGTCAGTCTGCCAACGAGGCTTTAGGGAGGACCCCGATAGGTTATTCAGAGGGCTTCGTTCACAACCATTTTTTGGATAACCTGGTGAAGAACCCTGACTAGGATGTTGGCCGCTCGATCCCAGCAAGCAAAAGAAGATACCGGAAGAGGAAACAACGCGACGCAATAGCTCTGTGAAGGATCACACGTTTCTGCATCCAAACATAGTCAAAAGCTGCTAACAGTTAGCAACACGCAAGCCCAGGCCCATGGGCAGCTGGCGGACCTGTACAGTACTGTGGCAAAAGCGGAGCTGTACTATTTCTTTGACTCTCCAGTTGAAATGCCAGTCAACGCCTTTACATCCAGCTGACGCTTATGGGCATTGCGGTGGAGATTGACAAGTAGGGTGTCGGCTTCCTTGAAGCCTGAAAAAGGGCGGGGCCCCTCTGAATCCGTAGAGGCTGGTCGATTAGCCGCATAAACAGCAATTGCTGCTGGGGGGTTTCAACCCTCCCCACACCCTGCAACGAGAGCACCTACAGTATGGGTAAAAAGGCAGAGAAAGCCCAGGGCAAAAAGGAGCGATCGCCGCTGCTTGCACTTTACCACGTACATAACACGTACGTAACGACCACACACACACACACACACACACACACACACAAATACACAACCCCCATCGTTTTACACCCCCCGATGAGTTCCGCGGGCTACCCTGCTTGCGGTCAGCAACGTAAGCGCTGCCGTTGCTTCCCATGACCTTATTTAGTAAGTTTGGGAAGCATTCGAACCGCACGATGGGGTAGGTTGCAGAGCGGGCTGCGGCAATGGCACGGGTTGCGATGTGGACATGGACCGCCGAGAGTGCAAAGGCTCCAGCGAAAAGCTCGGTTATAGCACTTTTTTTACTGAACCATCTTTAATTTGTGCTATCCGTTTCATTGTCAAAGTGCAGGGTGGCGAAGCTGTGCACCGCACAGCAGACAGCAGAATTGCTGTTGAGTGCACCTTCTCAAACGTCCTGAAACTTGGTTATTCATGGATAAAATTACAGTTCACTTGTTCGAATAAAATTCTGCGCCCAGCCAGTGCAATTCGCACTTTGTTGTTCCCATGGAGCCTATAGGAACTGTTCATACGCAAACGACTGTTGGCTTTCCTTGCCAGAGGAAGTATATTTTGAGATAGGAGATGTAGAAGCTATTAGTAATATTTGATGTACTAGTATCCTTTGAACAATGGCATTATGGAATTAGAAATCATCAAAAATATGCACAGTTGGGCGGGATTATCATGTTCGGTCGTTACTGATGGACAGTACATGGCCAACCCTATGCGGCGGGGCCCCCGAACGAGCTTTGTGTTGGGGCCCCGCCCGCTCGGCCGCTGTCAACGACTGAAGTGGATTGCTGGGAGATAAAAAAAACGCGTCGTTGAAACTGTGTCGAGAGGATTCACATACGATCGGTGGGCGTTAGCAAGTGGTAGGCGAAGAATGTATATATCACCTGCCGAGCTAGGTTATATTCATATTATCTGAAGCAGCATATTGGGCTCTGAAAGCGAGCGAAACGGAAGGATTTTGAGGGTTTCACGAAAATCCAGCTGGTACTCCAAGCCGCGAGTCCTCGAGGGGATCGCCAAAATCCTTTTACGCAGTAACATATGCTATTTATTCCAAAGTTATTCCAGTAGGCTAACGACAGCACCATTGGCATGGACGATTCGCCCTCTGAACAGCTGCCTAAAACGGCAACTCTCGCAACCGAGATGCAACCGGCAATCAGCACATCCAGTTATAGTAATACACAGAAACAGTAGCTTAAGCGTTATAGACTGAACGCTGCTAAGTTATATGTATTGCCAATTAGCAACGATAATCGCGCTTTGCACTCCCCCGTGTGCATGTAAACCAGCTACTTTCCCTCGTAAGCTAAAATGCACAAGGCCGCATTAAGAACCATCATAAAAAATATTCTATTATGAATTGCTCACTTTATTGATTAATATTGGTGCAATTGGAAGAAATGGTGGAATGGCTCATACGCGGGCCGATGTTCGTCAATTAAACCTAAGATCTAGGTATATTAAAGCAATGTAAATAATTTGTCCTTATTTGATGAATTATGGGGTCTTCGGGAGCTTTGTTAAATGGTCAACTGTCCCCGTTTGGTTGGCGGGGGCGAACCGTACGAACTACGGGTATCCCATGGCCCCTTGAAGTCTTCCATATTCTGGCTTACAAGTTAAAGTATCTCAAGCTTGCTTCAAAGTAATTCCGTCAGCCTCTGGTGGTGTTAACTCCGGTGGACATGAGGAGACGCAAGGGGGTCCTGTATGGGCACCTGGACACAACCGTTGCCAAAAATCGTTATACGGAGCCGTACAAGAGAGCTCCATCAAAATAATATGATGGCAGCAAGTTCAGTCTACATGGCGTCATGTTATTATTTTTTTGTGAACGTGGATAATGGCCACGTAAACAGCGCACCGGCAGCATTTTTTCCTATTCTCCCAAGTTCCATTCCCTGTTGCTGGCCGTAACTGGCCGTAATCACACCTGCTTGCGGATGATACGTTCAACGAGCTTTGCTACGGCCTCATGGCTTCCCGTGGCGCTTTTCCTGTGGGTATCAGCGGGGTCGTCTGGGCGCGTCTAGGTTCGACACATCAAATGCACCCCACTCGAGTGCCCGCCGATGGAACTTATTCGTCGTGATGCTTGATGCTCTCGGCCCAAGAGCTGATGGTTTGATTTCGGAAGGGGGCATCTCGCGCCCTTGCCTTCCCTTTTCTGTCTCTTCGTGTCCTCACGTCAAAATCCTCATACAACGCAACGGTTTTCCTCGTGACCGTTAATCGAACAGGATCATTGGAGCTTGCAGCCAGGGCCAGGCGCAGCCCCTAACTGCAGCCGAGCTTGCCGCTATCCGGCAAGCCGAGAGCACTTTTCCCTACCACGCCTGCTCGCTGGTCAAAACTGGCGCGTACAGCTTTTACGAGGGAGTCGCCTCGTTCGGCAATAACACGTTTTGCGTCAAGATCATGGCTCATAGCTGCAGCGAAGCGTGCTGCGATGCCGACCTTAACAAAACTGAGGTAAACGCAACCACGTGAATTTCTGGCAGATTTAAGGCGTAAAAATTTGTCTTGGGATAAAGTTCTCGCCCAGGGTATTCTGCGCATAAATATTATCAGCTGCCAGAATTTGCCTTCGCTCGCCCGAGCCGACCAGCTACTGCCGGATGCGATCTTTTGCGGAGTGGATGTGCGCGAGACGCCTCTATAATGTCATTATTGCTGGCTGTTGATATTTTCGCACCAGCTCTAACCCCTTGCGGTGCACCTCACCGCGTCGATGTATCCGGCATCCATCTGCCCGCACCCCGCCAGCTGCACGCGCAACCGGACATGCACATGCCTTTGCGTGGCCTAGCTCTCCAGCAACCGGCTTTTGTACATGTTCACTTTGAAACATGGCGTGCGCAGTCCAGCCTTGGGCATAGACAGGGTAAACAGCGCTTCACAGCGCAGGGATCGCCACCTTACATCCGCCACGCCACAGCAAGAGGCTAACAAAGGCTACAGCTTCCACTCTGGTGACAGTTCGGTGGTGCTCAGAGAGCTATATGAGGGCATCGTATTCGATGCGCCGCACTTTCCGCACCTTTTTCACACCATCCAGGCTCCGACTCCGATGTACGTACGTACGTACGTACGTATGTATGTATGTATGTATGTATGTATGTATGTATGTATGTATGTATGTATGTATGTATGTATGTATGTATGTATGTATGTATGTATGTATGTATGTATGTATGTATGTATGTATGTATGTATGTATGTATGTATGTATGTATGTATGTATGTATGTATGTATGTATGTATGTATGTATGTATGTATGTATGTATGTATGTATGTATGTATGTATGTATGTAGTCTTATTCACAATATCGTAACGGGTTTTCCCTAACCCGCTTCTTGATCTCGCTCCTGCAGCTCGATGTGAACCCGGCATGCAACGTTACGCCGACCGCCGACATCCGCGCCACAATCAACGGCGTTCCTACAAACATAGCGCCCGCCATTCGCAGCGCGGAAAATGTCCCGGGTGTCAACGTCCTTCGTATCAGCCGGCTAGGTCTGAACCTGTCCACAGCCGCGGATGCCGTGCTGTGCATCACCCTGAAGCCGAACAGACTCGGCAGGGGCTGTACAAGTCTGGAGGACCTGTGCGTGCGTCCGGACGGTTACCCAAGCGGCACATGCAGAGCAGCCTTCTTCAATACCCAGCGTAACTGCTGTCCCATTGATGTATTCCCGTCGCCACCGACCACAACGCCTTCGCCGCCGCCGTTGTCGCCTTCGCCGCCGTCTAATCCTTTGCTTCCGTCGCCGCCACCGTCGCCCTCGCCGCCGCCGCCGCCCTCGCCGCCACCGTCACCGCCGCCTCCGCCATCGCCGCCATCGCCACCATCGCCGCCATCGCCGCGGCCGCCACCATTGCCACGGCGGCCACCGCGGCCACCGCGGCTGCCGCCGACCCGTCCTCTCGCCCCACCACCGTCCCCACCGCCGTCTCCACCACCGCCGTCTCCACCACCGCCGTCTCCACCGCCACCGTCTCCACCACCGCCATCTGCACCACCACCTCCACCACCGCCACCTCCACCACCGCCATCTCCACCACCGCCATCTCCACCGCCGCCATCACCACCGCCACCTCCACCACCCTCTCAGCCATCGCAGCCGTCACAGTCACCGAAGCCGCCGGCACCGGCGGATCCCGAAGACATTACCCGCGAAACACCTCCCCCGCCTCTTTCACCCCCACCCGTTACTCCATTCGATTGCCCCGTCTGCCTAACCGTGCAGCTGATTCCCCCCGCTGTGAACTTGTATCCCTACTCCTTCGACATGTCCGAATGTTCCCAAGGCCTGCTCAGACTCGTTGACGGCCTCAACGGCCTGGCCCTCGCATACGGAGCCCAAATGACCGGTCAATTCAGACCTGTCGACTGCAGCGACAACGCGATGGTGGCATGTGGCGCGTTTGCCTTCCCGGCGGAGGCTGCAAAGGTGCCGGCTGGCGCTTTGGAAGAGTTGTCGTACACCCTGCTGGACGACATTGCTGGCGGAGGTGCTGAGTGCCATCCGGAGTTGCAGGGCTACAGCATCCAGGCATACACCTCGGCAAGCTCGTGCCTGCAGCTTTCCGTCTCTAAGGACTGCGTCATCAGCCCGCTGCCCAATAACTGCACGTGAGTCGCGCGTCGCGCGCATTTGCGCGTCTTTGATACCTGTGCATATGCATGTATGCATGTTTGTACGTATGCTTAGCTGACAGGGGGCCCCTGAGCGGGGTGATGTGCCGTCGTGCGCTGTGCGGTGCTGCATGTGCTCGGCCGTGCCGTGCCGGCGTGCATGATCCGGGAGTCTTGGGTTTGAATCCATGTTGGTGAGCGGCGCATGGGGGGGAGAGAGGACGTGGTCTTCAGCTCCATGTGCGGCAATCCCTAAACCAGCGCACATGCCTTACATGCATACGCAATCATACCGCATCTGTTGTATCTACATACCGCTCGGTTTGCTTCATAACTGTAATGATGTGATGTATGCGGAAACAGGGCGTTAGTTTATGAGGAGCGAGCAGAGGGTCGAAATGTTGCCATGTTCCATCCGTCTAAGTGAACGACGGATAGATGCTATAGCAGTGGATAGGTCTAATCAAAGAGTCAACGAATCTACTTTTGTATCTCTGCGTAATTGCGATCACCTGGCTCAGGTTGGTTTGCCGCTGTTCGAAATTCACCCGCGCATTAAGATGCCCGCCACTGCACACGTACCTGTCCTGTCCCTTTCTGCGTACTTATATACCGTGTATGATGATGCAGGTGCAATACGACAGCTGGAGTCATGCCGTACAAGGTGTCCCCGCGGTACAATGTCACTGCCGTACCGGCCAGGAAGTCCAACCTCTACTGCTTCACCATTGAGGCACTCCCAGACGGCGTGTCCCCTCTCAACGTAAGTCTTCATCTACTTACTAATCTTTACTTATTTATCTTAGCTACGTTGTCCATTTAGAGGTCCATTTAGAGGTCCATACTAGTTGTTGTTCCTGACAGTCCTTGCGCCTGTCGTTCGCCGCTCACAACAGGCTGCCTGCGGACCCGTAGACATCTTGTCCAAGGTCGAGTTCTTCGCGGGTGAGTCTGGCCGTGGCTCCAAGCTGACGGATATGCTGCTGCGGCTTTCATTTGGCTTTTGAGTGTGCGTGTATTGTAATAGGAGTTGAGCTGAGGATGAAGAAATGGCCGACCGAAGGCCACGACTGCGTAACTAGGAGGGTAACCAGTACGGGGTAGCTGAGCTACTCCCTAGCTAGGCACCACCCCGGTAATATAACCTCGTCAGAGCAATCAATCAAGCGGGCTTTCATTCCGTTGAGCTGCCTGCCAATCCGTTCCCTTGGGGAAATGTGATAATGGTATTTGTGACCGTGACCGATGTACGGCAGAGCATATGTACGACCAACAAATGAACATTTCGCATACGAGTCTGGGTAGCATAATTAATAGTTCGGCATATCTTTCTTTTCTTTTCTCGTGTTGAGGAGGTAGTGTAATAGTTTTGTGTTGTCTCTATCCATTTAAAGCAGCAGTACTAGGCCCCCTCCGGGCTCTTGGGCCCTCAGGGCTCCGGGTATGTATGGGGCCCCCCCAGGGTTACGCCGTCGGAGAGTAACGCAACTTCAGAAGGTGTGTAACACGCACGCATGCAAACACACACACACACACACACACACACACACAAATTTCCATGCATAGCATCTCAACTGGTCCTTCCGAGCCGCCCATATGACACACGGGTGTGAGTAGGGGCGAACCGGTGGACACATAAGGCGGTTATGCATATGTCTACATATGCTATGCATGTGCTAACTGAGCCACAACGGCTACCGGTACGGCAGACATTAGCAGCGGTCTGGTATCGTCCTGGCCATGGGGGGTATTTGCGGGGCGTGTGGATGTGCGTGTGTGGTTCAAAGCGATCAACAGGTAGGCCACCTGTGACTGATTTCCCGGTGGTGCTGCACACTGTTGGGGGGCGCCCAGTGTGCCGTTTTCATGCCCAGTGTGTGTGTTTCTTGGCGCTGCCCTGGTCGCTGTCGTTCCCTGGCGTCCGAGTGCCTGCGGTCGCTGTCCCCTGCTGTGCCACCAGATGACACCATCCGTTCCTTGGTGCGGGGCTTTGAGCTCATCCCAAGCGTCGGCACGTCGAGAACCGTGTCCCCGACCTGGGGCCCCAAGGGTCTCAACACCGTCAAAGGTACGCGCCCGCCCGCGTGCGTGCATGTGTGTGTGTGTGTGTTCACGTGTGTTCACGTGTGTGCACGCACGCGTGCATGTGTGTGTGTGTTCACGTGTGTTCGTGTGTGTTCGTGTGTGTTCGTGTGTGTTCGTGTGTGTTCGTGTGTGTTCGTGTGTGTTCGTGTGTGTTCGTGTGTGTTCGTGTGTGTGTTCACGTGTGTTCGTGTGTGTGTTGCTCGTTGAGCGGTTACCCACCAAAAAGGTGTACTTGACTAAGTAGCAGTCAAAGGTACGTTTGCAAGTGCGCAGCAGGCGGGGGCGCGAGGGCTCCGGAGAAGAGGAGTCCACACGCGCACAGTCAGCTTTGAAATCCTTATTAAAACCCTGGCATGCCGCGGTTGATAGCCTTTGCGCCCAAAACAGCCGCTAGCTCACGGGTCTCAACGCCGCCAGCAGCTTTGCCGGTTGGACCCACCACCGCCAGTTCACGAGAGAGGTGCTGCGTGGGGATGTCACTTTCATCAGCAGTTCTCAGGTGACCCTGTGTAGACACGTCATGAGTTGTTACTCATCGGGGCAGCCTTGCTTGCCGCTCGCCGTGCGGACAGCCGTTTGCCATCTTTCCGCCTCTGCGCTCAAACACCGCCATCTTTGCTCTCTCCGGTGACGTCCTGCCATTGCCTCACGCTGTGCTTGGCTCCTCTCATCACCTTCCTGACAGCTTCCCAAATGAAGTGGAACGCCACGCAAGCCATAGGCGGCCGAGTTTGCCTGGAGCTCAGGGATACGACCTCCCTGGACCAAATCTGTCTAGACGGCTCGGGAAATCCGACTAGCCGGTGGTGAGTGGTGAGGGAAAACGTAGGCCGGGCCGCAGTGCCGCAGGCCGGATGCGGGGGGCACTCAGTAACGACTCGGTCAAAAATCCTGTCCGGCAAAAAACAGCCCAGGGTCAGGCGCATCCCCGGCTGCTGTGGATCCCCACCTGGCGCCCTCATGATGCGGATCTCCGCCGGAACCTCTATATATTGGTGGATTGACAAGGGCGGCAATCCCGGACTGCCCACAACTCCATGAATTTCGTCCTCTATGTGCATCAGCCGCGTCCTTTGCGTCGCCGTGTCTATAACACGCTCGCGTGCACATGTCCAACTCCAACCTCGCACTTGACTAACCCTGCTTGGATAGCAAACTCAATCCCGCTGTAGCCGCTATTATTACTTGCTCGTTGTTATTAGTAGTCTGGCGGACTCGGCATTCATTTTTCGTTAGATTACGCACCGGCGCCACTATTCCTTAGAAACCGCGCCCGACCCTCTCTTTGCCGTACTTTATGCCTCCCTTTGTCGTATTTTGTGCCTCCCTTTGTCGTACTTTGTACCCACAGCATCGTGACTCTGTTCAACAACAACAACCGCTGCTGCCCCACGTACATTTCCGGGGCGCCCCTGCCGCCAAGGATCGCGTAATCCTGACATCCATCCAGGACTGCTCACGCTACCGGTTTTTGTACCAGCGTTCTGTTACCAGCTTCATAACACGCAACGACGCTTATATCAGCTTGCTTCCTTCCGCTTTTTCCTCTCTTGCTTGCTTTCCTGTCGAGACTTGTCGAGTTTTCTCTTTAGCACTTCCTGGCACTGCAGGCACGCAACGAGGCCATGAGTTGCAGTTTTTTTGTCAGCGTCAGGACGGTGTAAAGGTCAGGATTGATTGATGGGCAGTAAATTTTGCCCTGGTACGTGTTTCAACACTGAAAAGGGTCCTTACGGAACGGCATTTGTTTATTACCTGTGCTTAATGACTCAACACCGTTAAACTACTTTCAGAGCTTGAATTCTAAGCTGTATTATGTTAAAGATTGGGATGCAAGCACGGCTATCTTTCTTCGGCGCTGGCACGTGGTATTGTGATCGAGGTTTGGGGATCGGCGGTGGTTGCCTCCGGTTGCCTGGTGTCCTAATTTGGCAGCTTGCCGTTGACCGCTCAAACCGCTTTACTAATCCTTTGCAAGTATTGTATTTCGAGCGAGCATTGTATTTCGTTTTGTAATCAACCTCGAAATTGAAGGTGTCCTGTTTCTTGGACTGTAAATGGGTTGGATGAGGAACGGCTGTAGTCGGCTGCTGTAGCAGACGCCACAACACGCAGGCCCTCCGCAAGGAACAATGCCGCCGCTTCTTTCGCTGGTACATAACAAATAACGTGTTTCATGTACAAGTTAACTGTTTAATTGAGAGACTGGGGTGTTTTGTGTTACGGTCTCCAGCGCCCCACCCTTCCAGGATGGCGCGAGTCCAGGGGGCTCCACCTTGTAAGTTATGTATGATAAACCCCCGCCCGGATTCTTACCAAGACGCTAACGACCCCTAATTTTGTTCTGGTTCAGATGTCTCCAGGTCCCCCCGAGCCCCTGTCGTCTTAACCCCAGCCTTGCCAAGGCACCGGCCAGCACCGACCGGGTCGCGGCTGCTGACGCCCAGGCCTGCGTCCGCGACACCAGCCTTCCCGCGTCACGTTAGCCTCGGCTGAAGCCTCCATACGCAGAAAACGTTGGCTGGCCTTATGCAACTGATGTTGCTTGGACTTCCTTTCCGTAACTACTTTGCGAAGGTTTACTTGCTAAGCCGCTGACGAGAGCGACTTGAACGAGGCCTTCCTTAAGACGCTGCTGAGCGAACCCTAGTCAGCCAACTGAGGTACTTAGTTATGTCGCAAGAAACGTTAACAAAAGGATCAGTCAGAGCCTGAGGATAACAACAGTGTTGCATGAGATGGCTCAACGTTTGTTACTCTTCGCAGAGCCTAGCCACGGCTTTAATTGCGCAAACAAGAAACAGCTCCACCGTCTTTTCAGTTTTGGTTCAATGATGAATTGAAGTCCTCCTGAGACAGGGTCATCCAGTTACTTTGAAACGGCTCACATGTTGCCTCTCTGGTCGCATTTCGTACAATTGCAGTTTTGACGCGTAAGTCCAACGTCTCGCCTCCGGCTACCAGGTATTCTCCGCTGCAGCTACATATGCATCTTCATCCACAATTTTTTCCCTGATACGGCCTTCCTCCTCCTCCTCCAGCTGAGTCCTTCCAGCATAGGGCTCTCAAACGGACATGCTCCACATGAGTCTGCCATCAGCGCGACCCACAGCGCACAGCAGCCGCGCCACGACTTCCTCACCTTTCGCTTCTTCTTCCCCACGTTCATCAAAACAGACCCGTGGGTCAATACGGACCCACGCGACACCGAACCCTCAGCCGCGACCCTTCTTCTGCACCACCGCCTTCGGTCGTGCCAAACCGAAGCCTCTCAAGCCACCACGAAGCAGGGCGTCCGGGATCACTCGATTCCGAGAAAACGGCCGAGATGACCGTAGCAGCCCCAGACTCCGACCCAGCCCCGGGGAAACGTCCAGTCCCAATCTGATTTCCAATCCCTGGACGTTCCTCCAGAAAGGTCCAGCCCGCCCTGCCGGGCTACAGCCGCATGCAGGGGAGCCTCAGCAGCAGCAGCAGCAGCAGCAGCAGCAGCTGGTGGTGGATCTACCCGGGGTGGATGTCAGGAACCAGCAGGTGCAGCAACAACAGGAACAGCAACACGATACAAATCCACATCCGGAACTGAATCCGGATCCAGATCCAGATGGTGCCGCTCCGCGGTCCCCAAGCTCCCTCCGAGGCGAGGAGCTGCTGAAAGCGGCCCCCGCGACCCCCATCATTCTGGCCCAGTCTCTGGACGATAAGGTCGCGGAAATTATCGCCAGGTGAGGCTCCCCTGTGTGGGTGGGTGGAGGGGCGGGGGGGGAGGAGGGGGAGGGGTTTTGGGAGTGCGGGTGAAAATAGGAAAAATTGGCGTTATGTGTGCGACGAGGGCTGATTGGCTCGCGGATGCGGGTGCGTGCCGTGTGAGGGCTTATGTACCGCTGGGGACTAGGGTCCCCCGCCTTACCTACCCACCTACCCCTACCTGCATCCTGGGGTAACCGCGTGTGGCTGAAACCCATTTCTGAGATCCAACCCCCTCCTGCAAGCTTGGGGCAACGTTTCTGGGTGTTGTTGCATGCCTATGAAGTGAAATGCATTCCCCCTCCTCCTCCCCCCTCCTTACCCCGCCGCCGGGGATGGTCTGGTGTTGCAGATACAGGCTCATGGAGGATCGGCTGGCAGCGGTGGAGAGGCAGATCGTGGACATGGTACGGGAGCTCAGAGCAGCGCCGCCGGGTGCCGTACTGGCTGCGGCGGTGGCGGGACCGGTAACCGCAGCGGCGGCACCCGGGGCCGACGGCGGGGCAGGGTCGTCGTCCACATCGCCCTCAGTTGCGGTGCCGCCGGGGCAGCAGCTTCACGGCAGCGGCGGGGCCGTCTCGTCCACCAGCGGGCAGCAAGCTGCGGCAGGTGGGCGGACCGTTACGACGGAAAGGAAAAACCCAACCGCTGGCAGTTGGCGGTTTACAGTCATACTGCACACAGACTTGCACCACCACCACCACCACCACCACCACTGCCTTCCCCCACACCGCCCCCGCACCGCCACGTGCTCCAGTCTCTTCAGTCTCTCCAGTCCACACGGTCGCCATCACGCGCAACTCCCCCCATGCCAAGGCACGAACCCTAAGTTCTGACTCCCACCCCACCCGGGGGCCCCCGCTTGCTTCACCAACACCTACCTTCCAACGCCTAACCGTTTCAACTACCAACCTCCAGACCTCCTCTCCGGGGGCGGCGGCAGTCAGCAGGGTAAGGCCCGATTGTTCGAGATCAACCGAATTCAGTCCGCCATCACAGAGGTACGACAGCCGCTACGGCTAGTTATCGGTACGGGTAGTTTACGTTACGGCTTGTGTACGGCTGTACGGCCGACTACGGTACGCACCACGACACCATGGCTGTGTGGTGTGCGGGTCATACTATCCGTTGTGCTAAGCTGCACCTCGTGTGTGTTTTGCCCACCGTTACTTCCTCCCCCCCACACACACTCGCCCCCACCCCACATACCCCAGCCACAGACATGAATACACACCACCCGCGTCCTTTTCCCTTCCTCAACCTCTCCCTCCCCTCTACGCTCCCAGGTCGTTAACAGCGGCTACCTGGAGAGCGTCAAGGGGCTGCGGGAGACGCTGCTGGTCCAGGAGTGGGGGCTGCAGGCCAAGAACTGGGCCAGGCGGAGGTGCGGGGGTGGGGGGGAGAGAAGTGTGTGTGTGTGTGTGTGTGTTTAAAGGCGAGTGTTACGGGCGAGAGGGGAACGAGGGGACATCCCCCGACGACATACGTACATGCGACAAGGCGTACAAACAGGCGCGAAGCGGGGCTGTGACATCTGTTAAGTTGGGGGGGGGGGGAAAAGGGGGGGAAGTGGTGTGTTTTGTGACAGCAGAACGTCGCGGGGCCGGCAGGCGCCGGTTCGCAGGAAGGTGGGACAGTGGCGCATACTTAAAGGGGAACCCTTTAGTGTTCTTCTTCTTCCCCTAAAGGGGAACTAAAGTTCCCCTTTAGGGGATGAACTAAAGTTCCCCTTTGAGCGACCGGACAAGAAGACCGGGTCTCCACCTGCCCCGCCGTCTACTCATGCCGTACTCATTCGTACAGGGGCGTCAGCGCATTTGAGGAGTGGTGCGCTGTGAACGCTCCCGAAGAGGTGTCGTACGACATCATCAGCGCCTTGTACGACGACCCCGATGCGTTACACGTACTACCCACACCCCGCCTACGCATGATGGCCCGTGCCATGATCGAGCAACACACGCTTCAGGCGTACGACGAGGTACGACATCATTGTTGCTGACCCTCTTCCCCGTCTTGTCACAGTATACCGAAAGAATCATCAGTATAGGATGTATGTATGTACGTATGTGCGCAAGGCGGCGACAAAAGGGCGGGGTGAGAAGAGGAAAAGACGGGACAAGAGGTAATCGCGCGCACGTGCCAAGCTGTGTTTTGCCCCGGGGCCCCCACAGTGACCCCCCGAACAACACCACCCCTCAACCCTCGCCCGCGTTCCGAAACCCGGTCAGGTATTTCGCCGCTGTACGAGCACCGCGGAGGGTCTCGCGCGTGTGGGTTTGGGTGACCTGCTCCCCCACACGGCGGGTGTGGGCCAGGTGCTGCGGGGGCTGCTGCCGGGTGGCTTGCCCTTCCTGAGCGGGGGTTTCTGGTCGAGGGGGCTCAGGTGGCTGTGGCCTTTCGGCGGCGGCACCAGCCGGGGCTAGTCGGGGGCGCCTATGTAACCGCCCCTCTCTCCCCCCGCCGCCGTAGCCCGCATTACGGGGTGTGGGAAGGGACAGAGGGGATGTGGGGGAAACGCGGAGCAGGCTCCCGGTGCGGGGTGCTGGAGGGCTGATGATCAGTGCCATGAGACGAAGGGGGGAGAGGGACGAGGGGGGAGAGGGGGGGACCCGGGGGTATTCCGGTTGTGTACCGGGGTTGCGGGAGGGGAGGGGAGGGGAAGGGGAGGGGAAGGGGAGGGGAGCAGCTCCACGCGGGGTTGGGAGTGAAGGAACACAAGCCTGTGTGTGTTTTTGGGTTGGGGAGGGGCCGCCGTGGAAAGTAGTCAATATCATTACAATAACAATATTATAAAAGGCCACGGGGGCCGCTCACCACATATTCCCGGGGGGTGGGTGTTGTTACATGCGCTGGTGGGATTTCTGGGGTCGCCCGTGAGGAGGTTACGCTTGTGTTTGTGTGTGTGTGTTTGTGTTTGTGTGTATGAGGGGAAGAGAAAGAACCGGGTGATAGTAATGGTACGGGTTATTAGGGGATATGTGGTGGCGATAAAGTGCTAAAGACGGCCCCGTTCTCGGCGTAGAATGAAGTGGGGCAGCCAACCCAGTGTTTTATATTAGGAGTCAACATAGGAGTGTGTTGGTGGGGAGGAGGTCTCATCAGGCGGTGCCGGTACGAATCCGTACAATGATGTGATGATGGTCGTGTTGATATCGGTTGGCAGCCCTTTCCTGTTCTGATTGAAGTGCGTTGTGGGAGAGGTTACGGCTGACATTTCCCATTCAACACTGAAGTAGAAGTACAACGCTTTAAAAAATCGGTTTTCATTTCCTTTAGTTCATCGTAAAATTGTTGTTGAGAGATCCAACAAGCCTAGAACTCTGATTGCGCGGGGGGGACCTTGTAATGAAATATGTACACACGGACGGGGAGCTCGATGTTAACAATATCTGCACTCACCGCACCATGCAAGGTAAGGTAAGGTAAGGTAAGGTAAGGTAAGGTAAGATCCACACGCGTTTCACCACTCCCCTTCGTAATGCCGGATGTGACAAGGTAGCTGCCAAGTGCGATACTCGCAGCTGGGCGCAGTGGTCAGTGATCTGTAATCAGTGGGGGTTTGCAGCTTTTTCGTTTCCGTGTACAATACGGCGCGGTGCGGGGAGAACCGGCAGCCGGCCTTTCGACACAATACACACACACACCATACTTAAGCTAAGCCATCCTCTGCCAACACGTACGACTGTAATAAACGTACACGTGTACGGTAATGTACAGCCACGCAGCGTGCACGTGATGGAGATATACACACTCCCTCGCACACATACACACAGAAATGCAGACGGACATGCATACACAGGCCGACATACAAACGGAGACACACACACACACGCACATGCATCTGCAAATCTCTTCCCTCCGTCTGGGGCCCTCGCCACCGTTGAAATCCTCGTACAGCAACCCGCGCCGCGAGAGCTCCTGCCGCTCGCTCTCTCTCTCCCTCAGCCCCTCCTTTCCATCTCTCTCCATCTCTCCCGCTCCCGCTCTCTCACAAACCTCTGTGTTGCCGCCATCTCCTCGGCTCACGCCCCCTCCTCCGTCCCCCTCACCGTCACAGCCCACCCGCCCGCTCTCACATTCGTATTGTCGAGGGGGGAAGGTGGAGCCCACCTCGTGCAGGTGCGCACGTGTGTGTGACCAGCTGGTGAAGATCTAACCCCCGGTGGTGCGGCCGCCATGGAGGCCCCCCTCCCCCCTCCCTCCCTCCCCCCCACCAACAACAACCCCAACCCTCGGGTCGAGGGAAGGCGGCGGCCGCCTCACGCGGGTAAAAAACCGGTTACCGTGTTTTCTTCGCAGCGCCACTCCACCACCAGGATTTCCTCTCCCTTCTCGCCGCCATAACAACGCTACTACCACTATCATTACCGCTACCGCTACCACTACCGCGAAATGCAAGACCAACAGCATGACACTCGAGGACACCTGAGGGAGGGTGCGCTCCCATTATCACCGCCAAACATGACCATCACAACATTACCACCATCACCATCATCAGGATTATCAATTAAACCGGCACGACCGGTGCCATCGTTACCAGTTGCATCATCGACTAACACTCATCGTCGCCACCATCGGCATATCCCTTGCGCGCGGATACGTCATAAAATACACGATGTGCTCGCCGGGCGACGTGTTCATGGGGACCCCAACAAAACATAAAAAAACAAAACAAAGCCATATACACCCACCTCTAAAAAACACGTACCGGAATGCTGTACATCAGTACGACGTCGTGTCAGCAGCATGCAGCTGCCATACCCAACATGCTTGCCCGTACTCCTAAAAGCGGGTCATGGGACCCTTGCGGGTAGCGGCGCTCTAAAGTACCGCGTACGGTAGTACGACGAACGCTCCTATATGTACGGACATACACACACCTAGCATAAGAGATTCGCGGCCCGGCTAGACAGGATACGACAGCCACATGCTCTCTCGTTCTCACTCTCGCCACCCGGGCCTAGCCCCTACAGTACCAATATGCCCCGGGAGGGAGGCCGTGTTGTCGGCGTAGCACGTTTTTTTGTGCAACCTGTACAGTCCGCAACACGGCTGCAGCTCACTCCCACCCACTCCCCCTCCCTCCCCCACAACCGCCGCACCTTGCATGACCACCCCCGCCCACCCCCACTCCGCAACACAGCGTCCTCTCCACAACCACATTCCAGCCTTTGCAGCCGCCCTCACCGCCCTCACCCACGCTCCCAGTCAGTCAACTTGTCCGTCTATGTGTCTGTGTCTATGTTTGTCTGCCTACTTTTACGTTCGTGTACCTGTTCGTCTGTTTACCTGTATGTATGTCCACATCCCTGCCAGCTACATCCATACAGGCGGTCTCATCTCGCAGCACTCCGTCAGTGGAGAGGTCGGGACGGGGACGGGGAGGAAACAGGGGGAGGGAAAACCCTACCTCCCGTCACACCACCAGCAGCAGCAGCATTACCATCATCATCTCCATGACGAACTGAGGCGGGCACAACCGCGCGTGTCCCTCCCTCTCCCCCACCCTCTCTCATTCCAGGACGTGTCCAATGTTAGATTCGGACCTTCTCTCTGGCCAGGATGACCAGGTCTCCATCGTTGAGCACCTGCGGAGGGAAGAGGGGGAGAGGGAAGGGGTCCACCGGTGAGGAAACACACACGTACACACCGTTGATGTGGGGTGTGCGGCGGGAGTTGCACGTCGTAAGGTGTGTAAGGCGAGTTACAAGTCATACCTGTCATCAAAGGCTCTCTTTTCCCCCATACTTATGTTCCTTCCGAACATGAACATACATATATATACAGACAGACAGACAGACAGGCAGGCAGACAGACAGACTTGTTTCTATTCTACGTCCTCCCACCTCCCAACCCAACCCAACCCACTTAGCTATCCCCTCCCTACGCCCTCCTTCCCCTACCCCGCCTTCCCCACTGCCGTAGCCCTCTTCGGCGGCTGTTTCTTCGCCTTTCTACGTGCCCCCCCGGCCCCCGGCCCCCCCGACACCTACCGTGTCCTCCGGCACCAGTCTGTTGTTGACGTTGATGAGCAGGTTGACCCTGTACCCGTCGTACCCCTCCCCCGTGGTGATGATGCCCTTCTCCGCCACTATGTCCCCCGCGGTGGTGCCGCGGGAGAAGTGCTCGATGCGGCCCCCCGGCCAGATCAACACGGACACCTCGTCACTCTGGTAGTCGGAGGCGGCGTACTTGCCTGCGGGCGGGGGGGGGGGCGGCGGTGGAAAGGAGGGGTTGGGAAGCGATATGAGGGTAGGGAGAGTGGAAGCTATTCCCCTCGTGCCGCTGCATGTTGCCGCAAATACCGCTCTTCAGGCAATAATCGGAGAAAAGTGAACAGAACTTCTTTTGGAATAAATTAGTTCATGATTTTAGATCCAGAGCTAACATTAAAAAATAAATCTCCTGATTGTAATTATATTAAACCGGTGGGCAGAATCAGTACAGTGCAAAAAGCTGCAACATATTGCCGCAGGCAGGCTCACAGAAAGCAGGCAGGGAGCGGCTGGGAGAGCATGTGGGTGGGGTTAGGGTTGGGGAGCCCCGTGGGAAGCACCCCAAGGGCCAGGACGTGTCCTCCCACCACCACCAGCAAAACAACGAATATCCGTTGTACCCTTTATTAAAACAAGGTGCGGTGAATTTGGCGGAGGGAGATTGGGCGGTGCACTGATACTTCAGACGTCCGCTCCTCCCTTCCCCTCCCTCCTTCAACGCAAGGCGAGCCGCCCACCCCACGTGTGTTTCTCTCTCGCGCAGCACCCGGATATCCCCTCCTCCACGCGACAAGCCCCCCACTTCGCCCCCCTCCCCCACCTCTTACCTATGGCCCCCTCCCCCCAGGCTATCATACTGCGCAGCTGCTGGGTCTTCACAAACATAACCCGCATCTGCTCCCGAAGCCGCCGCTGCTCTGCCGTACAGGAGTCGGAACCGCCAACCAGTACGTCGTCGTCAATGGAGCTGCGAAGCGCGTCCGAGGTGACGGCGACACCGCTGCCGCCTCCGCCACTGCTGCTGACAGAGCCCCCGGCTCCGCTGCCTCCAGCGGCTCCTTCGGCACCGGCGGCGGCGGCGGCTCCTCTGCCGCCGGTGGTGCCAACCGTCCCCGCGGCTGCCTCCGCCGCCGCAGCTGCCGCCCTCTCCGCCTCCGCCGCCGCCAGCACGTCCTCCTCGTAGCCCTCCAGCAGTGTGACGGTCTCCGCAGGGAGGAGGTAACCCAGGTGGTCGCGTCGGTGGTACCTGACAGACAGACAGACAGACAGACGGTCAGGAGGGGAGGTTTCAGGGCACGACAACACAACCGAATGTCGTGTGTGCGTGTGTGTTTTGCGTGTGCGCGTGTGTAGCTGTCCCTGCACAGGGTGGGTGAGCGGGGGGAAGTCTTCAAGGTGAGTGGTGGGGTAAGGAGGCGGGTAAGAGCAAGCCCGGGGAAACACCCCAGCCAGGGCGCCGGTCAAAAAGGGAGGCTGCGGCGAATATGGACATACGTACGTACGCACACGCCCATTACGTATTGCAAAGCACTCGCGCACCCCCAGCCGCCCGCCAGCC